CCTTTTTCTTCAAAATTGAAACAATAATTCTTACCATAGAAGATTAATACACAGATGACTAGTAATTTGTCCTAGATTTTATTAAGATCTTGGATATTTAATTTTACTTTGTACTTTACACTCTCACAGATATAGATCAGTGGTAAAATTAGATGAAACGAAAAATTGAAGATTGAGAAATCATCACCATAGAACTACGTTTAAATTTTTACCATACCTGACATAAAATAATTGTGCATGGTGTCTTTGTCAAATTTCCCAGCATTGTACAAAGACTGTGCCCCCTTTCGGAATAGCTTTTGCATTTTCACCATCGTGTCCCACCAAATAGCCTGATCTTCTTGCTGAAGCTTTGGTATCCTCTGAATTGTAAGGAATGATTCATGTACTCTAGTAATTTCGTACCTTCCTACTTACTCTCTAATGAGAAACTTCAATCACTTTGTTGTTGAAATTCTTCAAGATGGACGATATTGGCTGCAAGATACTCGTAGGTGGAACCGCGTTGCTGTCCTTCTTGTACCATTTGTCCAAAAGTCCGACGTCCATCCCTTGGCTCTCTAATTCTGTTCTCAACATTTCCAATTCCGAGCTGAGAACGTACGTTGGAATCGGGCGATAACCGTATTTCTGTCCGAGGAACACCTTGAAGGAATTTTAAAACGTGTCTCGCGCCATGTGTTTCCAACGTTGCGATTAATGGGATCGAATTATTGTCATAATTCTCTGGAAACGTACGTATGTACATTCGTGCTCCGATTTGGCTGAAGTACTGAAAATATGTTTCTTTTATAGACAATTTTTGACGAGTTAAAAGTTTGCAAAAAATGGTTTTCACTTCCTAAGATACAACAAAATCTTAGCTAAAATTTTAGAAATAGGTTCCTTTTAGATAAAAGTAATATTTACGAAAAGGATTTCTGGCGAATCAGATAAAAAAATATTTATCGATATTTAAAATATTTCATATTATTTTTATTCGTTAATATTTCGAATATTTTATATTTTACTTCAGATGTATTATAATTTGAATATTTCGAATATTTTATATTATTTTTATATTTTATTTCAGATGTATAGTTTGAATATTTCGAATATTTTATATTATTTTTATATTTTATTTCAAATGTACTATATTTTGAATATTTTGAATATTTATATTATTTTAAATCAATATCTAAAATATTTATTTATTTCTATAATTGTTGAAATATGAACGTGTGGCACAGTGATCAATTGAAACAATCTAGATAATCTAATTTTGTTAAAAGATTTGAATCGTCAAAGATCCCTCCTCCAAATATTATTTATCTTTATTTGATCTTCATCATTATCTTCCCTATAAAATTTTCGCCAAATCGAAACACAGACATTTCCTTTTTTCCAATTTTATTTCATACCACGAAGTTCGGACCCATTGAGAGTCTCTGACAATTTTCTATTTCCCTCATGCAGAGTTCCGTGGTCATGTGATCGTCAGTAGCCTCGTCTCTTACACCCCATCTCATATCAACCACCTGAAATTAAATTATCCGAATGATTCCCTCATTGTTTCTTCCCTCTCCCAGAATTTCGTCGATTTAAATTTAGAACGCATCGCACACTGTGTGGTGGAAAGGTTTTAGCTGTATGCGGTGCCTGGCACGAGAGAAATCAATTCTTCAAGGTCGACGAATCGCGTTTCGGTAACACAGATTTTAACACCCTTCGGCTATATATATTCGTGACCTGTGCTTTCTGTACGATTAATTTTTTACATATATTGCACAGAGAGAGAGAGAGAGAAATGCTTATTGAATTTTGTTCTTAATTGTCATGCTCTTCGCGCAAATCTTATAATTGATTGTTTAATATAATAATTACCTGAAACTCCAGTCCGTGCTTTTCTCTGCAATAATCTTTGAGCTTTGGATAACACTGCGCCATTAACGTGTTCCGCTCCATCGTTGTATCTGAATTTGAAATATTTCCTACATTTAAATCTTTGCATTCACATTTTGCTTCGCGACAATTCGATAGTTGTAAACGAAATTTCTTACTGTTAAGATTCATCTGTTATCGCTAAAAAAAAACTTTCTCAAACTTTCTCGTTTTCAATTAGTGAAATTAATAAACCGCGGCTGCTTATCCAAATTAATATTTTTTTTATCAATGAAACAGGAAAGAAAAGCATTTCTTATTAGGCATTACATTTTGGATGTTTTGTAGATCGATTTTATTATTGTTATTTAAGTTATATATTTATATAATTTTATGCAATTTTATATATTTTTTGTGTTATATTTTATTATATTATATGTATATATGTAATAATGAAATTTTATTATATTATATATATTATATTATATGTATATGTATATGTATATAATAATGTGTATTATATGTATATATTATATTTTATTATATTATATATATTATATGTATTATATTTCACTGGTATATTAAATTTTGCAGATTTTTTTATCTTTAAATTTTCTATAAATACGTAAACATCCGTGATCCAGCAAGATCTATAGAAGCACATGCATATTGTCAAATAATTCTGTAGAATTATTGTCAACAGGAATTATTAGAGAAAGTGAGTAATGATTTAAAAAACTAGAAAGTGAAAAAAAAAATACTTGCTATAAAATATTTACTGTATCTCAAGTTTAAGTATATTAAATTATATTATTTAGTATTAAATTTTAATATTATTAATTTAATAATTATTTAAGTATATTAAATTATATCATTTAGCATTAAATTTGAATATTATTAATTTAATAATTATTTAAGTATATTAAATTATATAATTTACTATTAAATTTTAATATTATTAATTTAATAATTATTTACGTATATTAAATTATATCATTTAGCACTAAATTTTAATATTATTAATTTAATAATTATTTACGTATATTAAATTATATCATTTAGCACTAAATTTTAATATTATTAATTTAATAATTATTTACGTATATTAAATTATATCATTTAGCACTAAATTTTAATATTATTAATTTAATAATTATTTACGTATATTAAATTATATCATTTAGCACTAAATTTTAATATTATTAATTTAATAATTATTTAAGTATATTAAATTATATCATTTAGCATTAAATTTTAATATTATTGATTTAATAATTATTCAAGTATATTAAATTATATCACAGTAGTATTTCTATATAATTAAATTAAATAAATAACTAAATTATATCATAGTAATATTTCTATATAATTACAGAAACTTAACGTTATGAAGATAAAAATCAGATTATCCAAATTTATCTAAAAAGAAATCGTATGAAATCTCTTCATTAAAAAAAAAAAAAAAAAAAAAAGGAAACAAATGCGTGAAAATACAAACACTTGCATATGACGTAATATTCCAACGTACCGGTGAAGGTAGAGCTCGTGAATATTCTGACGATTTTCGAGCTAACCGCTGGCAGAGATTTCAAAGATCCCGCGAAGATCGAGTCGATAGTAGTTTCGTCCATTTTCACCTTCGATTCGCAAGAAAATCGTTTTCTATGTCATACCTCGAACTTCATCAGGTTACTAGCAACATTGCAAGGGTACTGAGATCGTACCCAGCATTTCGTTGGCATTTATAGCCTGTGAACATATACTCTTTCACCCCTAACATCTCGCCCGACCTCCTCGATCATCGTCGATCGACGAGTCATCTTGCTATATTCTTCTCCTACGAATCGAAACGCACTTTTCCATACGTAACGCTGGGAAATTGTTGTCAGAGGGGACAAAGAGATTAATTCGAGAAAGTTCAGTCAAAGTGGACGATAGGAAACACTTGGGGCGGTTGCCAAGGGTTGTTTGCATCGTTGGAAGTGTTGAACGTTTCCTCATTGATCTGAAAAGAACGTAGCTCGAGCGATTCTGACGATAATTTTTCACGTAAAATCATCTCCACGAGTTCGTCGATTAATTTGCTTCGCTTTCAAAGAAACTCAAAAGTAACGATTGCGATTTCTGAGAAGAGTCGAGAGGAAAGATCATTTTTTTTTTTTTTTTTTTTTTTACGAGAGAAACGAACGTTCAAATTGCAGCTTCGTACGTGTGTATTTTTCGTGGAGCGGATGTTTCATTCGAAGGAATTGAACGTAGCGATATCGAACGAACATTTCCTGAGGAAACTGAGAAAAGTGATCTCGAATGAGAGGGAAATGTTTAAGCTACAATTTTGTACGTGCATATTTCCAGTGGGACAGATTTTTTATTTTTTTTTTATTTTTTCGTTTTCTTTCGAGACATCAATTGCAGTGATTTTAGAGGGACATTTTTAACGCTGCTAAATGTTACGATAAAAAAGACGCATCTTCAATTTTATTTTACATTATTTCCATCTTATTTTGATCATTCTAAGATACCGATAAGTGATTTGCAAGTTGGAATTAATTAGGTGGAAAAATTCCTTCATCTATTAAACATTGTAAAGAGTATTGTACTTTGGATATTTTTACACTCTACTGCGTGCATTTTTCTACGTTCAAATGCATAAAAATCCGCAATCTATCTATTTCCAAGAATAGAAACATCGGTCGCTATTGGCCGCGTGTTTTAACAAAGAACAGTGATTTTTAACGACAAGGAATAATCTAAATTTCAATTTTGCGCAGGTTTTTTAATGGACCAAACTTAACACAGATTGAACTTCCTTGATCAAAACAATCAAAATGGCACCACCAGACCCCGTAACTCAAATGAATACATACAAATCCTACGTAACGATGCTGGCCGATCCAGTTTCAAAAGACGAATTGAAACTGAAGGCCGCTCAGGAATTGTCGGAAAATTTCGAGGTATTTATTCGTCGTTGGACAATCGAATTACATTGCTTTCGTTTCAATCTTGAAATAGTTTCAGGAACCTTTCAGTTTAATAATTGAAGCTCATATTTAATTTATACCAAACTGGTAAATGTTTATACATATTTACAGAAATAAATCTTTCTTTGCAATGTTAGGAACGTAATGATACAATAGAGGATTGCATAAATCTTTAAATTTTATTTTTTATTTATTTATTTTTTTTCATTATGTCTATAAGAGAAAATTTCAAACTTTCAAAATTACAATTTTTGTGAAATGTAAAAGAACTTTTTTTTTTAGTATATTTAGTATATTTTCTTAATAAGTTATGTCTATAAGAGAAAATTTCAAAATTACAATTTTGGTGAAATGTAAAAGAACTTTTTTTTTTAGTATATTTAGTATATTTTCTTAATAAGTTACGTTTATAAGAGAAAATTTCAAATTTTCAAAATTACAATTCTTGTGAAATGTAAAAGAACTTTTTTTTTTTTAGTATATTTAGTATATTTTCTTAATAAGTTACGTCTATAAGAGAAAATTTCAAATTTTCAAAATTACAATTCTTGTGAAATGTAAAAGAACTTTTTTTTTTTTTTAGTATATTTAGTATACTTTCTTAATAAGTTAATTATTTGGAATTAGATTTTTTACCTATTTTTGTTCGTCATGTGACTTTATTTGTTACATTGCTTATTTCCGGGCATGTTAAATCGTTGCAGGTCATCATGTGCTCGTCACAATACAAAACGTTTCTCGAGCACATGATAAAGATTTTCCTGAAAATATTACAAGAGGGTGAGCCGCACTTTATATCGGAGTACAACATCCAACAAGTGAGGAAGTTGATTTTGGAGATGATACACAGATTACCCAGCAACGAGTATCTACGACCGTATGTGAAACAGATCCTGAGTTTGATGTCGAAATTATTGGAGACTGACAACGAGGAGAATGTGTTGGTCTGTCTGAGGATCATCATCGAACTGTACAAACAGTATAAGCCAACTTTTAATCCTGAAGTACGTAGGGGCTTCTTTGTACAAAGTTTTCATAAAATTCCCTCTTCTTTCAACTTTTGTCAGTGACATTTCGATTTTAAAAATAATTGAGAAATATGAAAATAATTAATTATTGGAAAAATATTTATTGGTGATCAATTTAAAGATGAAAGCCAACTAAGCACAACATAATTGATGTATTTTAAAAAGAAAAAGAAAAAACGAATTATCCATCTATGGATCAATATTGAATTCGAATATATTCTTTAGAAAACTTCAGATACTGCTTTGGTGCAGTAAAAGTTGCAGCAACTGGGAAACAACAATTTGCTTTAAGAGAAAAAGTAGTTTGCAAAATTGACAATGATCTAAAGATTTTAATTGTAATAATTGCAATAACAACTTTGTTTCATAGTCAAAACTAAATACAGTGAATCATAATTTAATTGACATTACTTTCATGGAAATTATAAACTGATTGAAAGTTAAAAGTTTTATTTGCAATAGTCTAATTATTTTAGAAACAATTAATTCGGCCAATAATGATATAATTCGATATAACGCGATTTAAGAAATAACCACATAATTCAATAGATATTTATTATCATTTCAATTCCTAGATACAATATTTTTTGCAATTCGTCAAATCGGTGTACAGCGAGTTACCAAAGAACCTGCCAAAAATCTTCGAGCCACGACCACCATTGAGGGTGAAAGATCTGTCGGAAATAAATATAGAGGCACTTTTGAAAGAAACGTTCACGATCACGGCCATACAGAGTGAGAAAAAAGCCGCAGATGGTACTGTCGTCACTGTAAGTGATCTTTTATTAGTTTTAAAAAGTGAAAAGTGATCATAACAAGACTGTAGTTATTTCTGTATCTGTAAAAATTTAACTCTCGTATATCGAAAATTGAGTCTCTTGGGACTCGTGCAAATATTCCATTTTTCTTAGTTTTTAAGTTACAATAAACCATACGAGCTATATGTTACTTTTCAATTGTGTTACAATCCTTGATTTCTTTGTATCTTAATCTTGTTTTGCTTTCAACCGAAAAGGAAACTTTTATACTTTAAGAGAAAATCTTTAGCACACAATTGAACAAAGTCTGACAATATTTTTTGCTGAAAAGTTGAAAATATTTAATAGGTAATACAATTCTCTATGTAGATTCTTCAGTTATAGTAACTTGTGCAAATATTCGAATACTCATATGACTATGTTATATCTGTTATATAAAACATTTTGAAATTTTATTAACATTAAAAAGTAAAAGCTCAAATCTAATGGTTATGAAATATTTGATAATATATAGATGTTTTAAAAAAGATATTTAAACAACCTTATATCAATGATCAGTATGAGCATCTTTAATGGTTACTCATACTATATACTAATCTTTTACTAAATATATTTTCAAATTAATTTTCAATTTTGACCAATGTAATCATCAGTAAAAACTATAAATTCTCATAAACAACAACCGTTTAATCACAATAATAATTTTCTTCTTCCAGTACAACCTAATTCCCAAAGCAGTGTTGTCTCTCAAAGTGCTCCAAGAATTACCAATCATAGTCGTACTTATGAATCAATTCTACAAACAGAACGTGCACCAGGATGTATCCGACTTCATCCCTCTTGTGATAACTACCATAACCCTGCAACCGAGTCCTCAGCATCGAGCGTCACCTGGATTCAACAAGGAAGTCTTCGTCGACTTCATGGGTGCTCAGATCAAAACACTGTCGTTCCTAGCCTACGTTATCAGAGTGTACCAAGACGTGGTGTCTCAACACAGTTCGATATTAGTAAAAGGTATCCTAGGTTTGTTCACGCTGTGTCCAATGGAAGTGGCTCATTTACGAAAAGAGCTGGTAATCGCGTCGAGACACATATTGGCCACTGATCTACGAAACAAATTTATACCGCACATGGAGTGTTTCTTCGATGAGGATATATTCATTGGTCGAGGTTGGACCACGCACGAGTCTCTCAGGCCTCTTGCTTACTCGACCCTCGCAGACCTGGTCCACCATGTTAGATTATTGCTGCCATTAAACGATGTGTCCAGAGCTGTGCACCTATACAGCAAGAATTTGCTCGATCAAAGTCTTCCGACAGCTGTTCAGATGGTCTCTTGCAAACTGTTGATGAACCTGGTAGACACGGTGAGGCAAAGATCCGACGCTGAGAACAGTACACAAGGCAGGGAGCTTCTCATGCGAATCCTTTTGGTGTTCGTATTAAAATTCAAGACAATAGCCAAGATCTACATACCCATTCTGCGTAACAAGGCCAAGCAGATGACGCAGTTTGGCGTAGATGTGAAAACGGAGGATGCTAAGCCAGTTGTTCCTGACTTGAACGAGGAGAAAGAGACTGGAAAGTCGAAATTTGGCTTTCCTTCATCGCAAGCTATGAGCTACAATGTCGCCGACTATAGGAACCTGGTGAAAAGTCTGGTGCACGGCGCGAAGGCCATCACAGCGAACTGCATTAACAGCAAAACCGGCGAGGTGTCGAATCAGTCGAATCAGTTTCAGACAAAGGAGACGTTGGTGTACATTAAACTGGTGAAATGGGCTCTGCCAGCGTTGGATATTTATACAATAGGCCCGCCAACGATTGGAGCTGTCGCTCAACAGGGCCGGCCAGCTCAGTCTCAAACGATCCGTACGAGAGAGGAGAAAGAGGTGTTGGAGCTTTTTGGAAACGTTTTTACTCAAATGAACCCGCAGACATTCCAGGAAATATTCTCAACCTCGATCGACTATATGGTCGAGAGGATCTTCAAGAATTGCGCGTTGCAGATTATCGGAAGTGCCTTTTTGTCTAGTCCCACGATATCGTCCACCTTCGCAACGATATTAGTCGAGTATTTATTAGAAAGGATGGGCGACATGGGATCGAACGTAGAGAGGAGCAATTTATATTTAAGACTGTTCAAATTAGTTTTCGGTAGCGTGTCGCTTTTCCCTGCTGAGAACGAGCATATGCTCAGGCCACATCTAAACCAGATCGTCAATCGAGCCATAGAGTTGGCCATGACCGCAAAGGAACCTTACAATTACTTCCTCTTGCTGAGGGCTCTCTTCAGATCAATTGGTGGCGGTTCTCACGATCTGCTGTATCAAGAATTCTTACCCCTGCTGCCAAATATGTTGGAAGGTCTGAACAGACTGCAATCCGGTTTGCACAGGCAACATATGAAGGACTTGTTCGTCGAACTGTGCCTGACAGTTCCTGTGAGACTCAGCTCGCTACTACCTTATCTACCAATGCTGATGGATCCTCTGGTTTCTGCATTGAATGGAAGTTACTGTTTGGTCAGTCAAGGGCTGCGAACTCTCGAACTATGCGTGGACAATCTCCAGCCTGATTTCCTGTACGAGCACATACAACCTGTAAGAGCTGACTTGATGCAAGCCCTCTGGAGGACGTTGCACAATCCTACTGATCAAGCGCACGTGGCTTTCCGAGTCCTTGGCAAATTCGGCGGTGGGAACAGGAAGATGATGATAGAGCCGCAGAAGCTCGAGTACAACGATCGTGAGACCAATCCGCCGGCTATCGTCGTTTACTTCCAAGAGCCCACGAAACCGATCGACTTCCCAGTGGAGAAGATAGTCGAGACGGCATTCAATGCCTTGAAGTCTAGCAACACCGATTCGTTTTACCGTAAACAGTGCTGGGAAGTGATCAACTGTTACTTGGCTGTGTCACTGCGATTGGACGACACCAATGCCATTTTACATAAACTGTTCATGCATCCTAGCTTCAAAGAGGGGAAAATCTGTCATCAACGAGGATCGCACTACCAGTGCCAGGACATTGTCGCGAGGAATGTTCTACAAACAGCTCTGACGGGATTGTTTGTTGCTTCAGAGGTTAAAGAATTGAGGCCGTCTATAGCAAGCAACGTGGTGTCCATCGTCAGGCATTATACCATGGTGGCTATAGCTCAGCAAGCTGGTCCATTTTCTTTAACTGGAAGGCAAGTTCGTATGCAGGGTCAAGATCCTCTGGTTCTGATCGACGCTCTGGCTGTCATCATGGGCCACGATGAGAAAGAACTGTACAAATCTGGACACCTGGCTCTGGTTATAATACTTGAAACTGCAACAAACATCCTCGGTTCCAAGGAGAGAGCCTGCCAACTACCTCTGATGGAATACCTGTCCGAGAAAATGTGTTCCTTGTGTTACGAGCGTGCCTGGTACGCGAAGTTAGGGGGTTGCATCGCCATAAAGTTTCTCTTTGAAAGAATGGCGACCAAGTGGGTGCTGAACCATCTGTTCGTGTTCCTCAAGGCTCTCATGTTCGTGATGATGGATCTGACGGAAGAAGTGTCGAACGGCGCGATAGACATGGCGAAGACAAACTTAGAGAAGATGCTGAGAGTCTGCGTGAATCCTGGAGTTCAGGACGGCAACACGGAGTTGATAGAGGCGCAGAATAAGAGCTTGTACGAAGTCACTCACGAGCTAGTGAGACAGGTGACCTCGCCGCACACTCTGGTTCGAGAACAGTCCATGTCCTCTCTGCGATTGCTCGCCGAAATACAAAATAAGACAGTGACCGAGGTGATGGAGCCGCACAAAGAGGTCCTGGCGGACATGATTCCACCTAAGAAGCATCTGCTGAGACATCAACCGGCGAATGCTCAGATCGGTCTGATAGACGGGAACACATTCTGCACCACGTTGAATCCACGTCTGTTTACCATGGACCTAACCGAGCACGACGTGTTTTTTCAAGAACTTTTAGCACTCAGCGAGGCGGAGGATGCTAATTTGAATAAGCTACCTTGCTACAAGGCCGTCTCGAACCTCATACCACTGAGAAAATCAGCTCTGAGGGCTCTGGCTGCCTGCCATTACATCGTGACCTGTCGCGAAAGGATTTTCGGCGTTCTGTACAAAACCTTGGAGAAACCAAACGCGGAGTTGCAAGAGGCAGCCTTCGAGTGCATGCAGAAGTTCATAGCCGGTTTCCAGATCGACATGCAGTCCGTCCACGCTATTATGCGACCGATGCTGTCGACGTTGGGCGATCACAGGAACCTCAGTCTGAACTGCGTCAAGAGACTCTCGTATCTGACCCAGTTGTTCCCAAGCACGTTCAGCACTGCCCTCTGCGAGCAGCTGTTGCAGCACTTGAAGAAGCTGTTAGAAAATCTCATACAGGCGCACAAAGGTATATCCAAGTCCGGCGAGAACGAGCAGAAGATAGTAACGATCATAGGGATCTTTCACGAAATTCCTGCAGCCACGCCAATATTCATCGACATCCTCTGCAAATTTGTTCTTCAAGCGGAGAAGTCGCTAATGGTCGAAGTATCCAGTCCGTTTCGCGTTCCTCTGATGAAGTTCTTGTTACGGTATCCAACAGAGACGTTGAATCTATTTTTGCACGACAACAACGTCAAGGATCAGCAATGGAGTAGATACTTGGAGTTCCTTATCAAGCGGAAAGAAGGGAAACCGTTCCGCGACGTGTTGCATGGCAGCACCACCAGGTTGATCACTATGCTGCTTGCCCATTCACAGACGAACTCGAATCTGAATCACAGCGAGAAGAGCGAGCTGCAGCATCAGGCTGTGAAGATCATCGCCATCCTAATTAAATTCGACGAACAATGGCTGTCGAACCAGGGCCAATTGGTGGGCGCGTTGAAGCAAATTTGGTGCAACGACGAGTATCAAGCACTGCACAAGAAGGTCGAGAGCGTGGAATATTGCCACTGGAAGGAACCGAAGCTCATCGTGAAGATATTGCTGCACTACTTTCGCCATCATCCGAACGAAATCGATTTGTTGTTTCAGTTACTACGAGCGACTTGCGACAGATTCATTCCAGATTTCCAGTTCCTCAGGGACTTCTTGGAACACACTGTGGCGCAAGAGTACACGGTCGAATGGAAACGAAGCGCGTTCTTCAGATTCGTCGATCACTTTCCTACAAACAACTTGTCCCAGGAACTGAAGGCCAACGTGTTACAATTGATCATAATTCCATGCTTCGCCGTGAGCTTCGAGCGTGGCGAGGGCACGAAATTGATCGGCGGGGCGCCGATGCCGTACCAAGACAATCCGGAGAATGTCGTTTCTGTGTTCATCAGCAAGATCATCGATCCGGACAATCCGTTCGGCTCAGCGGACTGCGTTCGAATCTCGTTGCTTCAGTTCTCCTGTCTGTTGGTCGAGCAGGCATCTCAACATATTCACGACGTTAGCAACAAGAGACAAGGTAACAAGTTACGAAGATTGATGACGTTCGCGTGGCCATGCCTCTTAGGTAAGAACTGCGTCGATCCTACGACAAGGTACCACGGCCACTTACTGCTAAGTCACATAATCGCGAAATTCGCCATTCACAAGAGGATAGTCCTCCAAGTTTTCCACAGTCTTCTCAAGGCACACGCGTTGGACGCGAGGAACATAGTCAGACAGGCATTGGAGATCTTAACTCCGGCCATGCCTGTCAGAATGGAGGATGGCAACACAATGTTGACACACTGGACCAAGAAGATCATCGTGGAAGAGGGACACTCCATGCAACAGTTGTTTCATATCCTCCAGCTGGTGGTCAGACACTATAAAGTGTACTATCCCGTCAGGCATCACTTGGTTCAGCATATAGTAAATTCTATTCAGAGACTAGGTTTCAGTCCAAGTGCCACTATAGAGCACAGGAGATTGGCTGTGGAGCTGGCAGAGGTGATCATTAAATGGGAGCTGCACAGAATAAAGGACGAGGCGGAGAGCGAGTCTGTTAAGAACAAGGCGGGGCCTATGAAGCGACCTATGAGCGAAGATCCGACTGGAATGAAACGTATGGTCGCTCAGGCAGCGGCAGGGAGTACAACCGTTCCTGTCATTCTACCTAGGATGGAACCAGGCTCCACTAAACCCATAGAAAGAGCTCACGCTGACGCTATCTTAAATTTTCTGCTTCGACTAGCCTGCCAAGTGAACGACGTTACCACTATCCATGGGAATCCGGGTGAACAGCTGTCTAGACGTTGCGTGGCTCTGTTGAAGATGGCATTGAAACCTGACGTCTGGCCGCAGTGCTGCGATCTTATGTTGGGCTGGCTGGACAAAGTTTTAGCCAGCGTGGACAGTGCTCAGCCCAACTACGGCAACATTTCGACTGCCCTGGAGGTTCTCACGTTTCTACTTGGCACGATGAAGAGGGAACAAATCCTGTCGAGTTTCAAATCGTTGCAGAGAGGTATAGGTGCTTGTATAGCGAGCAGCAACACCAAAGTCATTCGTTTGGTTCACGGATTGTTGTCACGTTTAATGACCATTTTCCCCGCAGAGCCTACTTCTTCTACGGTTGCCTCTAAGTACGAGGAACTGGACACATTGTACACCACTGTTGCGAAATTTGTCGTTGACGGTTTGGCCACGTACGAGAAGAACACCACGGCCACTCCGAGCACGTTATTCGGGACGCTGATGATGCTCAAGGCAGCTTGCACGAACAATCCGAGTTACATAGACAGATTGATAACTCCGTTCATGAGGGTTCTTCACAGAATGGCCAAGGACCATTTGCACTCGACTCAGGCGGAAGCTAATCCAGTTGGTAGCGAGCTGTTGATACTGAGCTTGGATCTAGTGAAGAATCGCGTGGTAGTCATGGGCGTGGAAATGAGGAAAACGTTCATCGGCTCGATCCTGGTCGGCTTGATCGAGAAAACCCAAGACATAAAAGTGATGAAAGCCATCACGAAGATGTTGGAAGAGTGGATGAAAAATAAGAATCCCATCGCCATGAATCAGGCGCCCAGCCTGCGGGAGAAGTCTATTCTTTTAGTGAAAATGATGCAGTATGTGGAGAAACGTTTCCCGGATGATTTGGAGTTGAACAGGCAATTTCTGGAACTGGTTAATTACATTTACAGAGACGAAACGTTGAAATCATCTGAACTAACGTCGAAATTGGAGCCTGCTTTCCTCTCGGGCTTGAGATGCGTCCAACCTCAGATACGAGCGAAATTCTTCGAGGTGTTCGACGCATCAATGAGAAGACGGCTTCACGATAGACTTTTATACATCATTTGCAGCCAGAGTTGGGACGCCATTGGTCCTCATTATTGGATCAAGCAGTGCATCGAATTACTCCTCATCACCGCCAATTCAACCACTCAGATTCAAATGTCTAATCAGGATACCTTGTTGCCGAGCGTAACTTCTGTGATAAACATGGCGGACAGCGAGGAACACAAGAACTTCATAATATACAGCTCTATAAAGGAGGAGCCTCAGGACATCTCTGAAACAGCCGACATAAAGGATGACATTCTGGACATGGATTTGTCTAACGTTGATTCCGCCATTGTCCCAGAGGAGATCATCACTTCGGGGAAGGCATCGTTGACACAGTTGATCGCCAGACAAGCTGAATTTATAGAACGTGCCAAGAAGATCAGAACAGAACAATTGTTGTTAGCCACGGCTCAACTTTGTCACATGGACACAAACTTGGCGGAACGTGTTTGGCTGGACACTTTCCCAAGAATTTGGAGCATCTTGGACGAGCATCAGCACAACACTTTAATAGCCGAGGTAGTGCCGTTCGTATGTAGCGGTACGCATGTCATTCAGAAAGATTGCCATCCCAGCGCTATAGCTACATTCGTCGAAGCAATTTCTCGCTGCAATCCTCCAGTGCCCATGAGGCCAGCCTTGATGAAGTACTTGGGTAAATCTCACAATCTCTGGCACAGAATGACACTGAGTTTAGAGCAAATGGCGTTTGACAATGGGAACAATCAGTTCAAAATTAAGAGAGAATCAGATTGTTATGATTTTGAGCCAGACAATAGTCCTCACGCCGAGATTCTAGATTCGTTGTCTGACATGTATTCCTTGTTGTTCGAGGAGGACATGTGGTCTGGTCTCTGGCAGAAACACGCTCACTATAAGGAAACTTTGCAGGCCACTGCGCTGGAACAGCAGGGATTTTTTGAGCAAGCACAGGGTGCCTATGACGTGGCAATGACAAAATTTAAGCAAGACTATGTGTCAACACCAGCACCATTTAAAATACAACGAGAAGCAATGCTCTGGGAACAACATTGGATAAGATGTGCAAAGGAGCTGAATCAATGGGACTTGTTATTGGATTATGGTAGCAAGAAGGTAGAGAAAAATCCTTTCTTGATTCTTGAGAGCTCTTGGCGTATTCCTAATTGGAGTATGATGAAGGAGGCCCTTGCACAGGTGGAGCATAATTGTGCAAAGGAGATGGCTTGGAAGGTAAAGTTATATTCTTTATTGTATTCAAGATTTTTTCATTGAGATATGAGATCATTTTTCCTAATGGTTGAGGACTTAACATTAATTAAAAATATACACGAAACAACATTACATCTGGTAATTTAGTTTTCAAATTTTAATATTAATTATATTAACTGTATTTATTTAAAAAAAAAGAAAATAGAAAATATGGATTTATTGGACAATAATTAACTTAGTCAGAGTACAATGATTTTCAAAAATTAAATTTTTACAGGTGAATCTGTATCGAGGTTTCCTGGCGATATGCAACAGTGAAGATCAACATCTAAACGCTGTAGAACGGTATGTGGAGTTGGCATCTGGCTTATGTATGCGTGAATGGCGTCGATTACCTCACGTCGTGAGCCACGTGCATCTACCCTTGCTGCAAGCGGCGCAACAGATCATGGAGCTTCAAGAAGCGATGCAGATACATCAAGGGCTGTTGCACGGTAGAAGCACATCGTTGCACGACATGAAAGCCATCGTGAAAACATGGAGGAACCGATTGCCTGTGATAGCCGACGATTTAAGTCATTGGTCAGATATTTTCACCTGGCGTCAGCACCATTACACATTCATCTCGAGCCATTACGATTCGCAACAAGACCAAACGAACAACCACTCGATGCTCGGTGTCCACGCGTCCGTCCAGGCAATTATTCACTTTGGTAAAATAGCCAGGAAGCACAATCTGTGCGGCGTGTGTTTGGAGTCATTGTCGAAGATCTACACAATACCCAGCGTGCCTATCGTCGACTGTTTCCAAAAAATCAGGCAGCAGGTGAAGTGTTACTTACAGAAGGCGTCGGTCAGCGGTAAAAACGAGTTGCAAGACGGTCTAGAGGTCATTGAATCTACGAATCTGCGTTACTTCACCAAGGAAATGACCGCGGAATTTTATGCACTGAAGGGAATGCTGTTATCGCAGATAGGCAGATCAGACGACGCGAATAAAGCGTTCTCAGCCGCTGTCCAACTGCATGATACACTGGTGAAGGCGTGGGCCCTGTGGGGTGATTATTTGGAGCACATCTTCACGCGCGACGCACGCCAAATTTCCATTGGGATTTCGGCCATCACTTGCTTCCTTCATGCCTGCAGACACCAGAATGAATCTAAGTCGAGGAAATACTTGGCCAAGGTTCTTTGGCTGCTCACCTATGATGACGATAAGTCCTCTCTGATGGAAGCCGTGGAGAAATATGCTGTAGGCGTCCCACCGATTCAGTGGTTACCTTGGATACCTCAGTTGCTGATGTGCTTGGTTAGACACGAAGGAAACGTGATTCTGAATTTACTGAGCCAAGTTGGAAGGATGTTCCCGCAAGCTGTGTACTTCTCCATCAGAACTTTGTACCTCACGTTGAAGATTGAACAGCGCGAGAGGTATAAGAGCGCTGAATTGGCCGCTGGAAAGAATCAGGAAGGTGTGGAGGGTCGTGGAGCTGCAGGGAATGTGCAGCAACAAGGAGTACCTGAAACGGGACCAATTCGAGCCACGCCACCCATGTGGAGGTGTTCGAAGATCATGCATATGCAGAGAGATATTCATCCTACTATTTTGTCTAGCTTAGAAGGCATCGTGGACCAAGTTAGTTGTATAAATTTTTTAACTTTCTACTGTATCGTTCTATATGAGTCTCTCAGAAATTAAATTGATCAATTTTATTTTTTATATAATTCTCGACTTACATAGTTATTATTGTCTCAAGAAACAAAAGACTTATTTTTGTGAATGGCAAAGTAAATTTTTTAAAATAGTTTGTATAAATATCACTTTTTTCTGTTTCTAATTATTAGTATGATTTCTGAACGACTCGTATATCCCTTGATGTCCTGACGATTTAGTTTTATTAAAGTTAATTTAATTTAATTACTAATTGATTATTCACTAGCTTATTCATTATCATATCACGTGATATGCAGGATGTTTCTTTGATTCTTTAACATTATAATTTTTACTGATAATTATTATTAAATTATTGTTAAATTATATATTTAGATTTATGTATTTAGTATTTATGTTATGATATATTTAATATAATACCCTTATATATGTACCATTTCTATTCATTTTTCTATTCATCTATTAATTCAAAACTATACCATAAAAGGTAAATGCTACGTTTCAGATGGTCTGGTTCCGAGAAACTTGGTACGAAGAAGTTCTGAGACAGCTGAAACAAGGTTTGGCCAAGTGTTACGCAATAGCATTCGAAAATCGTGGCGCTGTAAGTGAAGCAACCATAACTCCCCACACGTTGAACTTTGTAAAGAAGCTGGTCTCGACTTTCGGCATAGGAATTGGTGAGTTTCTGGAGGCACTGAGCCTTTACAACTGTCTAGGTACTAGAATCGATTAAGCAAAGATTTTTTTTAATTCCAGAGAATATATCTTCCTCTCAAAATGTGAACAACACGTTTGGTTCGGCGGGTTCAGAGTCTCTGGCACGCAGGGCTCAGGCTACCGTTCAAGATCCCGTTTTCCAAAAGATGAAGGGTCAATTTAAGAGCGACTTCGACTTCACTGTACCTGGAGCAAGATTACTTCACAATCTGATCAGCAAGCTGAAAAAGTGGATCAAAATTCTTGAAGGAAAGACGAAGCAGTTACCAAAGTACCATTTCTTGAAAATTTATATCAAGTTGCATAAGAAGTTCTTTCAATTTTGAGTCATACATAAAAATTACTTATATTTATTATGAATATAAACTATGAATGTTTATGCATTTATGAGACATTTACAGATGCAAGAAGTGTACATTTATAATAGTATAATTCAAAATATAAAAAATTCAAAACTTCATAATTATAGCTTGTCATATTGTGCTGAAAGAAAGTACTATATTGGAATTTCTTAATAGAAGTGTTAGACTTTGAAATGATAGATAGAAAATAATCTAGTTGCAAAAAATAATAAAAATCTATTCCTTCAAGTACGAATGAACTTATTATGCACTTCTACCTCTATTTCAAGATGGGTCTATATAAACTTACTAATAATTTAATATCAAACAGGTCCTTTTTAATCGAAGAAAAGTGTCGCTTTCTTAGCAACTTTAGCCTAAAAACAGCCGAAGTGGAATTACCAGGCGAATTTCTCTTACCCAAACACTCGCATTACTACGTAAGAATAGCGAGATTCATGCCAAGAGTCGAAGTTGTTCAACGACACAATGCAGCGGCTAGAAGATTACGAATTCGTGGACACAACGGACGTTTGTATCCATACCTGGTCGTCAACGACGCTGGATTGGGCGACGCAAGACGCGAGGAACGTGTTCTTCAATTGTTACGAATGTTAAATCACTATCTGGCTAAACAAAAAGAAACCTCTAGAAGGTTCTTGCATTTCACCGTTCCTCGTGTGGTAGCTGTTTCACCGCAGATGCGACTGGTTGAGGATAATCCTGCTTCCGTGTCTTTGCTAGACATTTACAAACAAGGCTGTGCAAAATTAGGTATAGAACACGATGCGCCAATAGCTAGGTATTACGACAGATTGGCCACGGTACAAGCCAGGGGTGCACAGGCGAGTCATCAAGTTTTAAGAGACATACTCAAAGAAGTGCAGACGACGATGGTCGCCAAGACGATGCTCAGAGACTGGGCGGTGAAGACGTTCCCTGGCGCAACTGATTACTGGACCTTCAGAAAAATAGTAATATTACGCATTCCAATCGGTAGAAAATTAATTTGTTGTATATTCTAATAGATCCGCATTGTAATTCTCATGGGTGATACATCAATTTTTATCTTTTTCTTTGTCTCTTGACAATATCTCTCATTTATTCACCATCTTCTGCGATAGGTTTATTTGTATAAAAATTCTAATGCTAAGTCTCTTTGCTAAGAGAAGCAATGAGGCTGAATTATTTGAACTTTTGCAAAACAATTCTATTGGAATTGGATACAGCAATATTTCATTATTTCACATACGTATTATTTCGTTTCTTCTTACAGTTTACTCTGCAACTATCTTTGAGCTGTTTCGCGGAGTATGTGCTTCATCTGACAAGGTTGAACCCTGATATGATGTACGTGCACCAGGATTCAGGTCTGATCAACGTTGCTTACTTCAAATTCGATGTTGATGATACATCCGGTGAGCTGGATGCCAACAGGCCAGTTCCTTTCCGATTGACACCGAATATTCTGGAATTCCTCACCAGTACAGGTACGTGTTTATATTACTTTATTGTACGTATGAATATTTAAATATATTCTATTTCATTGTGCTTGAAGCAAGGTGCAATATGAATATATTCGTATGTGTGAAAATATTTAAAAAAGTCGTTTTTAATTAGGCGTCTCCGGACCTCTAACTGCAAGTGCAATTGCCACAGCTCGTTGCTTAGTCCAACCATCTTTCAAAGTGCATACGATTCTTCGTGCAATTTTACGAGATGAAGTAATTGCGGATCATAACAAGAAACAAGAGGATGCTGAGAATTCGTCGCAGGCTCCGACAGACATGAAAGGTGAACTTCTGATAACGATGGTCACTCGTGCAGTGAACGCGATCGTTGGAAGGCTAAATTCCTTGGCCAATTTCGATGTGACCGACAGTAAAGTTAGCACCCTGGTCGCTGCAGCCAACAGTCATGATAACTTATGCCGAATGGATCCTTCTTGGCATCCTTGGTTGTAATTGCGTTTTCTCAAGAACTATTTGTGCTTCCAATTCCGAACGGATATATAGAGAAATTGATGGATGTGGATGATTCTCATAATTCGTGCAGAACTTGTATTATTGTTTGTACTAACTTAGATTTCAATTGCGAGAAACAGCTACAATCATTGATATTCTCTGTACTACTATCATTATTATTTTTTTTTTTTTTTTTTAGTTTCCGTGTAATTTCAGTCTCAAGGAATATTATAAGTCGTGTAAATATTGTGCAGAAATGAATGATTCGATCGATTTACTTCAATGAATTTATTCTTTTGTATGACATACATGTTTATATCGTAAAAATTTTCGTCCCAAAAATATTCCATCTGTATCATTTACTGTACATACTATTTTTTAAGAGTAATTTATAATAATTCGTCAGAAAGTGTTTATAAGTTTAAAGAACAAAAAAGAAACAGAGAGAAATAAACTATCTAAAATAATTACTTTTTTCTCAATTCTGTGACTAATTTTTTTATATCCTAATGATTATAAGGAGGAAAGAAACACTTAACTCAAATTCGTTATTAAATTAGTATATTTCAAAATAATATTGATATCTCATTTGGTACCTCAGTTTTTTACACTTTACCTTCATACTTCTTTCTTTAATAAATCAAACATCCAGCCAAAATTACTTTGAAGGCTTGAGATTGATATTTCTTAACATACACAAGTCACGCGCAGTTGCTTTTCGCCCAACTGCTGTTTGAATATCGTAAAATCTTAACAGAATATCAGTGGTGAATAATTCGGGCAATGCCTTTAGCAGACAAGGTACCTTAAATAAACAAAAAAAAAAAAAATTAAAATTTCATTGTCATTCTCATAAAGTACAAAAATGAACATGTGGAAGCTTACCAATGTTTGTGGCATTCCTTGCAACACGATACGTGTCCTATCTTTTCCACATTGTACCATCAGACGTAAAAATTGAAGTATAAAGTGAGTCTGTTGAGATACTTCGCCATCTCTGCCAGCTAGAAAAGTGAATATTGTAAACAATCCATTTAATGCTGACAGAAGAGGGTCCCTCAGCACAATTGACTTTTGGCCGTTGGTAGGTCCTTGAGCTTGCGGACTTTGCGAGCCGAAGATAGGATTCGAATCTCCTGTCTCGTTCAGTCGCAAAATTTTGTTTGCTGGCACGCCAAGAGCATCGAGTTCCTCCGCATCTAGATCCCGACGCACTCGTTTCCTACTGCTCCCACGGGATGGATTTGAATTATTATGTTCTAACGTAGAAAATATACAGTACACGCATAACTTCGCTAACACTGAGGACTGTGGTTCTACGAGTTCTTCGCTCCTATAAGAAATTTATTTAAAATCACTAAGGCTATTGAGAGCTATAAATAAAAATTATCGGAAATTATCGTAGAAGTAAGTAACGCTTACTGTAATGAGTTATATAAATACTGTGGAATGATATAATTGATGAGATCTAATGTACAATTCTCGATATCGAGATGAAAAATGGAGAACGCTAAATCTACTGCTTGGTCCAACTCTTCCTGATAACGATACTTTAACACTTCTTTTACGATATTCGTGACGAACCATAAGGAACCACCGGTATTTAACAAAGATTCCAAAGACTGCGTTGCCTGAATATTTATCCATCCTCGCTGATTTATATTCCCCCATTCATTTTCCAATTGCTCCAATATAGGCTGTCTTGATATAATGCTAGTAAAAATAAAAATATAATACAAGTGTAACATAAAATAAATGATAAAACCATAAAAGTAATAATAATTAAAGAAACTTTAACATGATACCTATGAGACATCGAGAGCACCTTCGTTTTCGATTGTGTAGGAGGATGAACATCGTACTGCATTTTACGAATGATTTGAGACATCAAGCTTGATCTAAAATTCAATCTTCAATTTTAATTTAATAGTATTGTGAATATCCGTAGAAATTACTCATTTTTATACTAACCGTTCCTTAAGATTGTCTTGGACCTCATCTCCAGGAAGTGGTGTTAGGAAATGTTGAACCATGTTCAGAGGTTTTAAAAGTGCATCTTGATGAGTAATACTCATATATGCGCAAAGCCAGGCTGCCGCGCAAACTGGCAAACAACATGCAGTTGTACGCAAACCATCTAGAGCTCTTTTAACGTCACTAGCTCCAAGTACGTCACTCTCCCATGCACAAAGAAGCTCTTTCACAGCTCCCATAGCCGACTGACACGCGATATGCCATTTTATATTGCTAGATTTCAAATCAGAGTCCGGAGAATTAATTTGTGCTAACAATGCATCCACTCTTACAGGATCGACGTTTTGCAACATTTTTTGAGGTGACTTTGGTTGATTTCGTTCGGGCATGCACTCGCGTACCCACTGTTCAAAAAAAGAGTCTCCTTCTCCTTCTTCTAAAACCGCCTAAATGAAAGATATCATTCATTAATTTATAAAAAAAATGTGATGTTGAGCATATAATATAACAATTTAAACGCACATCAGACCCATAAGTTTGCACTATAGAACACAACATAAGGAACGATATATCAAATAACATTGCCCTAGTTGCTGCAGTCTTTGGTGGCACAGGTTCGTTGATTTGCTTGCTACATTCATTGAACTTAATTAATTTGGTAACAAATGTTTTTAACTTTCCCTCCACGGTAGCTACCGCCAACATTAGTTCGAAACTCTTGCCAGTCAGAACTTGATACAACATACTAAGTAAAGCCTCGTGAATTTTTGTGTAATCGGCATTGAGAGTTTTCAAAATTCCAGATAAAGTTGGCTCTGCGCGTACGATCACTTTAGGAATGGAAGACGTGGACGTGGAGGATTCTAATTTCTGTAACGTCGCGGTAACACCCTCTCTTCTGCTGCTTAATTGTTTAGTTTGTTTTTCTGTAACTAAATTAACTTTCTGCAGTGCGTTTAACAAACACTCTACGCTGTTGCAAGAGCATGCAGTGTCCACTATATCCAGGAGCGGAGTAAATTGTAGTAATAATTCAAACGCATCTAGAATATCTTGCGAGTATTCTAATTTATCGTCCCCGTTTGTGTGCACCGCGTGTAACTCTTTCAAAATAAGAGGCACCTTTAGAAACGTGAAAGCACCCCATTGCGATTCTTTGAACGTACTGGTAACATTGTGCAAACACATCAAACACGCACGAATTATCTCGCAGTACAATCTCGCATTTGTATAATTCTTAAGTCTTTGGACCATCAACATCTGATTAACAAATACAGACGTCTCTGTACTGGGATTTTGTAATACCTGAACTGCGAATAAAGGTTGCAAACAGTGAGTTATAGACTCCATCTGTGACATCTCTGGTGACAGTGTTAGACAATCAACTTCCAAATTGCACAATTTTTTCAAAGATTCCTCTATCGGAACAGAGGACTTGAGACTACTAGTTTTTAATAGTGCTTCAATCTCCTGACACTTCTTTACTACTTCTATATACAAGTCTTTGTCGTCGTACTTTGCTAAATACATCATAGCACAGAGAAAATCAGAGCTGAGCATCTGTTTCAATATACTGGCAGGTTTGTCCATCAATTCTGTTGGCTGCGGAGTTAATGGACTGTTCTGTGGCATTTTTGTCAGAGTGTGTAAATAACACTGTAACAACCAATGTACTATGGATAATACTGCAGCAGCCAAGAGATCCTCCTCAGGTTTACCACGACATGTTATTCCTACTTGAATAGATTCTAAAAATTCTAGGAGACTTAGAATACAATGAGGCTTGTGAAAGGCATCATATTTGCTTATCCGTTGCAATACAGCAGCATAGGAAACCAACTGAAAATTTATCCATATATAAATATTACCTTCAAACATCAATAAAGTGCTAATCATACATACCTGAGAACTTAAAGAATGTTTTAAATATGAAAGTACTAATTGATTTGGTCCAAGTCCTACTAGTGCCTGTTGTAATATACAATCTGCTAAATTATATACATCTCCGCTAACACCTCTTGGCAGAATCTAAAAATGATAAAATTTATAAAGAATTCTTATCAGATATAAATAAGTATTTCCATAGTGAAGAAACTACTTACAGTTTTGATATTGATGCCCCATTGTAAATCACTCCAACGTTCTCTCCATGCCCGTAGCAAAAGAGCTTTCAAACTGCTGGTCTTACTAGTTACTTTAGTCTCCATAGCTGATGTTAGAAGATTACACATAATTTCTCCTATTTAAGCAATATCATTAGTTGTTTCTGTCATATGAATTTTACTTTGGTATATCGGATATTCCCCATACAATGTATTACTTTTTGCGAATTGAATATTTTTTGCCCAATGCATCTGATATTTTCTGAATTTGTTTGTGTACTTTACCAAAGAGTTTTATTGATAAAACCGCACCAAAATAAAGTTTTGGATTGACGTGTATACACGTCGAACGCAGTTAAATGAACCATCAATTATTAAATTCATAATAGCACTTAAACTGTTAAATTTATAATATACGGCGTGTATACTCGTCGTTGCTTGATTTTAATTACATCACATCCTGTGAGGGATTTTTAAAACTAAATTTCACAGTTAACCGGTTAAAATAAATGCACACAGAGTGACAGTTACTCAATATGTAACCTCAAAAATGCATAGGAAGATAAAATAGCCTATGTTCAATTAAAAGTAGCTATTCAAAATGAACACTCAATTTCCCTAATTAAATTATTCTCTTACATACTGCGTTTCAGAAAAATTTAATACACTAATAAACTATTACGACCAACACATCTTCAGACTGTAATTTTTCCACAGCCACTATGATCAGCGCCATGTTAAAAATTATTCACGATTAGATGCGAGTCGGTTCCTCAAAATAATCGACATTTCATATCGATACACCTTCATATTTTTATAAATGTTTGTTTAATATCTGTCTATAATTTATTAAATCCAATTTACTAAAATTCTCCATTTCTTGTTAGCAAGAAACACAGTTATAAGATATGCCGTTCGAGTGCATCCTCTAACGTGAACACTTCCTCTTTCAACCGATTCAAAATTGACAGGTCTAGAAAAACTAAGATGCACAGTAAGATTTTACGAAACAATCAGGTTAAATGAAATATTGTATGACGGAAGTGAAATCTTGGAAAGAATGGGTGTTTGTAAAAGAGCAGTCACATTTGACATTCCATTCTATATATGGGAAGGATGGGATTTTATAAACGTAATAGGACTTCTTATAGCAATTGGATTATTCTGCTATGCTTATGTCTACGTATGTGTATTTTATTAATGTTATAGATAGTTATTAATTAACATTAAACAGTTATTAACACATATTATTGATAGTTATTAACAAAATATTCGAGAAGTTATCAGAAAATATTAAAAATAAAAAAAGTCTTTCTAACATATTTTATTTTACAGAAATCCTAATCCAAACAATTTGATACTTCTATGACAAAAGAAAAACAACTATGGAAGATGACAAGTCACTAATTCTAAATACTACGTCAAGTGATAGTAAACGTAGTATAAAATTGATTCTTCTGTATGATAATTAAGTTCTCAATAAATATATTGAAATATTTTAAATACATGCTCACTTATACGTATAAAAAAGAAATAAAGGTAAAAAGTTCTTCGTTTACTATAGGCAAAATTACTTTCCCAATCCTACTTCATGACTCAGCAGCATATGCAAAATGCGTCGTGCATTTTCAGATAGCATAAAATTGGTCAGTCTGATGCAACATCAGTAACAACAGAATAATCTGTTTTTGACAAATATCTTCAACGTACGAATTACTCAGAAACTAAATTGATCAACTTCAATTTAATTAAATACGTACACAATTAATGTATTATTTTCAAGAAACCAATGCTCTCAAGTTCATTCGGCGCAAGAAGATGACATAAATGATCTTCATTATTCTTTTTTTTTTATACGAAACGAAAGAATCGCATAGGATCGTCGACGATAAGTATTGCAAGCCAATATAAATAAATTAATAAATACATCATTGAGAAAAAATTGGGAGTGCGTAGTTCCGCAGTGTTGCGCACGAGCCGCCACTGCAAACGACAGTAAATTTTAAAGCGATAGCCTCGTAATTAAACGTTTCGTCTATTTCCATTTCCCTTTTTTCAATTCCTAATTCTCAGCTCTTCGAGTACGATCCCACGATAAAATACAAAATTCCTCTCGCCGAAACGTAATTTCGAACGCTCGAAACGCTCGATTCAAGCCCGCGCGGATTTCGAATCGATCTATCTTTAGCGAGAGCTGCCTCGACCAATCGCATCGTGGCGAGGTCGCGAGGCATTCGTGACGCGCATAATGCCACGCTGGCAGTTCAATTGACAATACCCGGCGGTGGATCGAACACTCGTCGTGTACTCGGGCAAGGTAAACAGTTTTTCGCGGCGCAGGTCAACAAAAGTTGACGCAAGGATCGTGCGAATTGCTCGACATGCTTCGACAAGCGTCGCGGGTGACCCAGGTGAAACAAACGTCCGAATAGAGGCGAGCGATCATCTCCGAAAAAAAATCGGTCTCTTTCGCTCTTTAGCTGCAGCCAAGAGCCTCAGGGTGGGGCGAGGAGGCCGTACGTCCGTCCGACTGTCCGTGACGGGACTCTTTCACTCGTCAGTCGGCTAGTAGTGCGCGTCAGTGCAGTGTGCGGACGGTGGTTTTTTTCATGGAAACGTAGTGGCTGCCGTGTATTTTGTGTTATAAATACACACACACACACGCGTATACACGCAAACGTATACGATCGCTCCGTGCTGTAGAGTAATCAAGCGTCGGGCGGGATGTCGTCAACGGACATCAACCTGATGGATTTCCTCTTCCCGCGGGAGGACGCGTTCCTGAAAGGCGACGTTAAGGACGAACCTTTCATAGATCAGAGCTACAACGACGACGCCATCGCGGTGAGTCTCTGACGCACGTTTTTATCTCGCCATCTCGTTAGTCTTTCTTCTCAGACTCGCGCTCGCCCCCTCCCACCCCTTTCAAACGGGTTCCACTCGCAGGAAACCAGTTTCCTCTTACACGCGCGTATCCACGACCGTAGGGATTCCCCGAAAGAGACTTCGATGAACTGCAGATTCGAAGTATTTTTCGCTGAACGATTGCGTGTAGACAATCGCTTTTCACGTCTAGCGATTTGCTTGTTCAACGTCGTCTCTTGAGCTGCTAGATAGTTTAGTCTAAATAAGTAGATCTTTACGTAGTTTGAATCTCAGAGAGATCGTGGATGCACCTTATGGGCAAATAAATCCCGATCCGATTCTTTGAGGAAAATACAAGTTAATAACTGACCGTAAAGGGACGTTGAATTCTATCGCCGCTTGTTATCGAGAATGTTAATACACGAATAATTCCCGAGGCTAGCAAAACCTTTTCAAACATTGACTCATGTTTACGTTACCGCTGTCGGTGAATATTGGGGGAAAATATCTGGGAACTGGCACGTACGACTCGTACGTACAAACAGGTGGAACATGTTTCCTGCTATTATTATTCTCTGGCTATTTAACCTGTCCATTGACGAAAAAAAAAGCCTTTGTCGACTTTCGACGAAGTATCAAAACAATTATTTCCCGTGTAAACAGATCGAAAAGCGATGGATACGCTTCATCGCGATCTGTGCCACTTTCGCCGCGTTTTCAATCATTGCTAGCCTTTTAATTCAGTATTCAATTAGGCTCAACTAGCCGCAGAGTTCAACCTGAACACAAAAGGACAATTTGGACGAAACGCGTGGAAATGTTTGTGGCGGCAGTAACAAATTAGAGCGGTCATGATTAGTCAGAAACTATCCGTTATTCGACCGCTCATTCCAGTTAACATATGGAGTGCGCGGTCCACGTGCCGACGCGAAGTGCCGTCTACACCTGTCGCTTGGTATCTGCAGGTCATCGTTTCGTCGTTTTCCTTTAAAAATAGTTTATCGCGTACTGGAAATAATTGGCGACGAGACACAATGTAATAATTAGAAGGATTATCAGAGCAGCCTTGAATAGTGAGATCCACGTAAAAGAGTCGAGATAACAATTTATTGTTTTTTTTTTTTCTGAACATCTTCTGGATTAGAAATACGTTTTTTTTTTTATTTTTTATTTTCGCTACTTAACTGCAGAATGTACGCTGATACCATTGTTACGTAATCGGGAGAGACTTTGTAACATATGGATTAATCTGATGCACGTGTTTCTGCGACGCCGCCATATTGGAACATTTGATAGACGTTCGATGTCTAATTCGTGCATTCTTATCAAAAAGATATTACTTTTATGATACTAATGTATTAATTATAATATTGTAATGGTATACTTTTCCATGTGCATACTGATTCTTTATGCTTCGAGTCGAAACGAGAATGCGAACCTACACACCATGGCGAACGACCTTCAAACGAACACCGTTACATTGCGGGACTTTTCGCGAATAGTCTAAGAAAAAACTTAATTTCGAAATTAGAGTAACTGTGTAACTCGTACTATAATTTCAAAAATTTGTGGACAATAAAAAATAGTTGGTAAAAATTTCCTGCAAACGCCAAAGAAAATTTTTCTGTTTTCTTCAGCCTTGTTTTATCTTTATTTATTATTTATATTTATTTATTATTCTATTATTCTATATATTATTATTATTTTAAAATTTTTCTGTTTTTTTATTTATTATTTATATTTATTTATTATTCTATTATTCTATATATTATTATTATTTTAAAATTTTTCTGTTTTTTTTAGTCTTGTTTTATCTTTATTTATTATTTATTATTTATATTTATTTATTATTTATACTTAATTTGCAATATAAAGCCAAGACGTTAAATGTGAACAGACAGAAAGATGTTTCAGAAAATTCAGATGAACTCTCGGGAACATTTTATTTTTAAGTTCTTCCCGAGTACTTATCGATGAAAACATTCGCACACGTGTTTTGATTCAATTTAATAAATTTTCGGATCTTTTTCGGTTAATTCTGTACCGGAGAAATAATAATAAAAATAATGCGCAAAAAATAAGTGAAAAGCGTAGAAGATGAAGCTTTTTTGTTCAAGGCATCATTTTCAAAAAAATAGACTTTGAATATGTTTTATTAAAAAATTACATTTTTCACACACGTGCACGAAATTTTCAAACTCTTTAATGAACAAATTTTACTTTTTTTTTTCATTCTTATTTTTTTTACGTAGAATCATCTTCTCGGTACTATAGTAAATAAAAATTGGAAGGAATGAAAAGTGATGTATACGAACCTGATGTATATACTTAAAATACAGAATCAAAGCTTTCTCCTTTCTAAAATCGTGTCCGATCTTCTTCCATTTTAATTTCGTTTTTGGTCTTGATTCAAGTAATTTGCCAACGGAATCCTAAAATTCGAGGAAACCAGCAGTCTACCGCCACTTAACTATATTTATCATCCTCTTGTGCTTGGAAAACTAGGTTACCCTGCATTGGCCAAGTGTTTGATTCACGCGAGTCGAACGACAAGCGCCACGCGAACGGCCATTTTTCAAGCTTCGCTAAGCCGATTAGGCTAACTTTCATCCAGATAACTAACTGGAGCGCGCAATAACAAAGCCTCTGTTATTTCCATTCTCAAATTAGAACCTTAAATCCTGCGGCGTATAGAAACACGAGCCATTTGTTCTAAAAATCACTTTCGGTTTTTAAATCGAGATGTTCAAGGGAAGAAAATTGATGCCAACTTCATCCGAAAAGATTTACTTACTATTTATATTTCTCTCAGTGTAAGTAATTTTGTATGGGCGTTAACGAATCGTCATTTTTTCATTACTGTAAAGTGATCTGATGTAAAATTCAAGATATGAACCAGTGATGCGATATGCAATGTATGTGTGTAGAGCGAGATCGCAGAATGAGAAATTGCAATGATGTCACTTTGTTAATACGTGCTCTTATGCTTCTAACGATGTAATAGATACGCTATCCCATTATTGGAAACATAAGGCTCCATGTACACTGTCGTTCCAAAGTTTGAAGTACTCAATACATTTGTTTGTCACACATCAGCAATTCGTAGCCAAAATATTTGTTTGATTTACTTAAATTTGGGAGAATTGTCTTGAATCATAAATTTAGCATTTGTGGATGGTTAAAGACATTTTTTATCCCATGCGAGCAATTTTTTTCATTCATAGAATGTTTTCAGAAAGATTTATAAACGAAGAAACTCGAACAATTCTGTTTTAAGGTTTTTTTTTTTCGTTTGATAATTCTTGTGAACAAAATATTTATTTAAAAAATGCATCGAGGTGCATTGAATTGTATAAACTTATTGAGACAAATAATTTAAATAAGTTGCAGTTCATGTAATGATAGGGATCCATTGATTTTCTCTTCTACCAATGATTTTCCACTTACGTAACAAAAGTTCAGTTTCGAATAAGTGGATTCACAACTAGCAAGAGTTCATTTACTCGATTATTGCCTGAAATGTTGTTCAACTAAATTAAGCCTATATAAACGGAGTTCTCTATTATACATAATACTTTGAAGAAGTGCAATTAAATGTAACCATACCTTCCATTTTTAAATATAATTGATCAAAGTTTCAGTATTATAAAAAAAATAATAATATCGCGAATGAAATATTTATTTATTTAAAGAAGTCGTTATTTCTTTTGAAAACTTAACATGTCCTAAATTCTCTAAATTCGAGCGGGAGCGTACATCAGAGAATGTGTAATTTCTATACTCGGGTGCATTGCATCACGAGCATCGCAGAGGGAATTAGATTTCTGACAATGCAATGCACACGACTATGCTATTGGAAATATAAAGATTGGTACAAATCAGCGATATAAAATGTAACTCCACTATAAAATTAGATCATTATGAATTATTGGTAATGTATTATTCAAAACTTTATCTTTTAATACGTTATACAAGCACTTCGAAGAAGACTCTACAAATTCTTTACTCCAAAATTTATAACAAGAGGAGTAGGTATTAATCTTAAATGTTTGTTATCTAACAAAATGTAAAATAATATAATACAGTATAATTATAAAATATTTATATTTTATTCTATATTCTAATCATTGTTACTATAATGATAATTAATTTCAGAGTGGATATAACGAATATTTTGAAATGGCTCTCACGAGTTAACGAATAGATAAAGATCTTTGACCACCATTTAAAATTGCAAAATAAAATAATGCTTTATATATTTTATATATAAAATATAAATATATTTAATATTATATATTTATTTATAATATTATATTATTAATTATAAATATAATATTATTAATATTATATATTTTAAAATAGCAATATATACAATTTCTAAAGTTTTAAAATTGCAAAATAAAATAATGCTTTATATATTTTAAATATAAAATATAAATATATTTGATATTATATATTATAAAATATATATTTAATATTTTATATATTTTAAAATAGCAATATATACAATTTCTAAAATTTTAAAATTGCAAAATAAAATAATGCTTTATATGTAAAATATAAATATATTTGATATTACATATTATAAAATATATATTTAATATTTTATATATTTCAAAATAGCAACATATACAATTTCTAAAGTGTCAGTATATTAACAATTATATTATAAAATACACAAGCAATTTAGAATTTTCATTATCTACGAAATAAATATTGAATATCAAAAATAAAAAGTGAATCGAAAACTTTTAAGCGGCGGTGTAAAAGACAATATTTTCTCAAACTTTTGCACTACTTAACGTTTGTTTTTGTAATTCCACGTTTATTATACGTTCACTCTTGAAATACATGTTTTTCAATAATCCATTTTTTTAATTAACAACGAAATGATTCATGTAGTTCCTCAGTGGTAAAATAATAAATTGCAGCGAAGCCGTATGGCTCCGCTTGCGTCGAGCTTAAAAAGTCGCCTGTGATCATGTTATATCGGGTAGATCAGGTCAATAATCTGATCTAAATGGGACGCCATGGGCATACCAACGAATGCAGTGACGATGCAAGGAAGTAAGAGTATCATTAAAAACAAACTGAATGTACTTTTCTGTGTGTAACATCGAGCAAACTTTTAACGTTGGAAAACAAATGAAGCAGATTGGCCTCGTTGGATGCAGAAAATGCAGAGAATGCATACAACGTGAAAAAAACATATATAAAATATCGAAAGTAGAGTACTCATACTTTATAACGGAGTCAAATTTCTGTCTGAATTACATTTCTTTAATTGCGCTCACGAGAACTTGAAATTGTGCAAATTTATAGTTTTCATCGATCTTTACATCAAAGTATTCAATATTCAAATAATTAATTTAGTAATAGATATAAAATTTAGTAATAGGTACAAAATTTAAAAAAAAGGAACAGAAAATATTGTTATTATTACTATATTATAATAATTTATTGTTATTATTACTATATTAATACTATAATATTACTATAATAATTATAGTATTACTATATTAATACTATATTATTATTGTAATAATTATTATATATAATTAAAAAATATTGTTATAATTACTATTATTACTATATTATAATAATTATTATATATAATTATTACTATATTATAATAATAATTTTTTTATTAGTTAATTTAATTGCATTCTCAGGATCTCGATGTAAGTATGATTTATTTATCCCAGAAGAAATATCCCAGATTGATTTTACTATTAATAATATCGCGTTTCGAATAAATACATCAAAATAATTTCCACCGTATCCTCCATCTGTTTCTCAAAATAAAATTCATCTATCCCACGAAAGGTAGAAAATTGATTTCACTGCTAACAACTTCATCAGAAAATAATTTGTTCTTGCATTCTTTTTCAAGGCGGAAGAATGGCCAACCAATCCAGACGACTTTCTGGACTCCATTTTCAAGCTGGAGGACAATCAGTTCAACCTGATGGACAACGATTTGGACGCGATTCCGTCTTCCTCGTCGGACAGCGGGCTCTCAAGCGCGTTGAGCCTCTCTTGCGAGCAACAATTGAGCCCGCTTCTGCCGATCGAGGAGGATCAACTGGAGATCAGCAACTCCGAAATAAACAGTCCGCAGAATGTCATGGAGTTCGAGCCTTTGGGAAGTCCTAACCAGTCGATGGCCAGCGTGGACAGTCCTATCAGGTCGAACATCGGCTCACCGGTTACCGATGTCGCCGAGGAAATGGATGTGGAACAAACCCTCGTGGCTGTAGTAAATCCAGCGAACACCTTGGCCGATGCTAACACGACGATTGTTACGGAGCAACCGGTTGCCGATTTAGGTATGAAGAAATTTAACGTAACATCTGAGTATACCTTAAAATTATCCGAGTTGTTAGTAATCTTCCTATTGTATTGTAACTTTAATATTAGTTGATTAATTAATGTACCAGTTTAAATTAAATTAAATTATTAAAATTAACAAATTGCAAATTAGTTAATAAGTTAAATTATTAATTAATTAATGTAATTAACAATTTAATTAATTTTCGATATAAAAATGAAAAATTGCAGATGATATGATAAAACATCCAGAGCATAGTACTTCCAATAATATTTGGTACATTAAATAATTTTCTACAGAAGTGTTATTTTTTTCTTTTCTTAAGTTATAAAAAGGATTATTGTCGATTATCTAAAATTTTATTCAAATAGACAGTTCCATTTATTCAAATAATAGTTCTATAAAGTCCTGCTGCATTATAAAATATATTATAGGCTTTCAAACTTTTGAACCAAAATATCTCAAGAACAATGTGCTCTGTTACAATTTTAAAACCCCACATACATCGCCGGCCAAAAGTTTGAGCGCACATTCTGTGCGTGTAACTAACAGCAACTCTTTATTAGTATTTGTCAAATATTTATGACAATTGTAACAATTTAAAAGTTTAAATATTTAGTGTTTGAATATTAATGAGAGTCACTGTAGATTAGTACTTAATGATCTTTTTGCTTACAGTGTTTTAGCATTACATTAGTATAAATATAGAAAATATAGAAAATATCTATCTCGTTCCAAAAAAAAAAAAGAAAAATGCATAAATATTAAATTAATCAAAATACACAGCAAAAGTGTATCAAAATTTTTAGTCACTATTCTACGTGCCATACCACATCTCGTTCCAAAAACGTTTTCCTTCTCTTCTCAGCGTGACGATACATTCCCTCGCTAATCCATTTGTGAAAGCTAAAGTTCAGCGAATTCATAGCAGAAACATAATTCGAACGCATGTTAATGCTCGAATTTAAGCAATAAGATCTATTTGAATCTCACAAGCCCGTCAAGATACTGGAAATTTCCAGATTGAATAAATTCAAAATAATGTGAATAATTATAGGTTCAAAGCAATTTTGACAAAATAATTTTTTGAATAGGATTGAGACGAATCTTTTGACCTTTCAGAGATTATGTCTGTACACCGTGTTGATTTCTATGCCACTAGAAGCTATTTCAACGATACTAAATTGTACAAATTGACGTGTGACTATTTACCGTCATTGTTTAAAGCAATTTTAAATAAACTTAATTAAACAATTTTAAATCGAACTTACTAATATTTTATTAAAAATTTTATTTTTTAATAATTATTAATATTAAAATATTAAAATAAAATATTAAACTTAATTAATACTTAACACTTAATACTTAACTAATACTAAACTAATATTTTATTACTAACTTAATACTAAACTAATATTTTGTTAAAAATTTTATTTTTAATAAAATATTAAACTTACTTAATTATTATTTCTAATGCAATTTAAACTTACATAAAAGATCGAAAACTCTAAATCATCGACATCAGGTATCGCAGTCGTCCCTGAAAAATTAACTCGAGTAAAAAGTCATTTTTCGATTTTTTATCACCGATAGAAACTAATTAGCCGTTTGCTACAAAATCATTCGATTAAATTGCGAATAAACGTGGGTCAATATTAATTTAAAACAGTATCATTAGCTAATTAAACTGTAAAAAGCCTGTATGTATCATAAAGCGTGAATTGCAAATAATGCTACGATGTCGATAATTTCTAAAAATAGAGCAACAGCGAATTTTGCAACGTGATAGAATATCGCAAAAAAAAATTGCAAGTTGCAAAATGTATTTGTCACCTTTCTGCGGAAAGAGCATTATGGACGAAACGAGCAGTCTGGCGAGTCATCAATATTTTTTTCCGACTGCGTCGGGAGAAATTTCGAGGACAGCAGCTTATGGTCACCGACGCATAAATGCAACGTTTTCATTTACAAATTAAATTCAAGCTCAATATGAAAGTGGATTCCTGCGGAAAGCAGGCATAAATGAAGGAGTTATCTCTTAGAAAAAATTTGCAAGGTACTCCATTTGATGAACCTATATGTATAATAATTATTTATATGCGCTGCATTGTAGAGGAATAAATTCTTTCGCTTAAAAAAAAAANAAAAAAAAAAAAAAAAAAAAAATACACTGATAATCGATGCAAGAAATGTCTGTTAATGTTTTGTCGAAATTTCTAGATCGAAAACAATTAATAATAATAATGATAAAAAAGAGTCTCATTGAAAATAAATCTTTTTCGTTTTAGAGAAAACACCGAAGCAACAACAGATTCACATTGTGCCTCCAGAAAGCAGCACGATAAACGTCCGTAATATCACGTGCAATGGAAAACGAAATATCAGGCAATTGATACGCGTGACACCGATGGGCTCCGGTAATCCAAGATCGATTCTACTGCCTGTAAGTTTGAAAGACATGAAGGAAGTACGAACCATCAAGATCATCAATGCTTCGCAAGCTAGGAATTTCAAAGGATTCAAGATCAACCAGGCCAATATCATCAACAAGCCAGTTCAGGTAAATAAAGCTTTTCTTATAACTTCAAAATGGAATTTGATGATGAATAAATCAATTGAAAAGAATTGCAAATGTTGCATTAACTTCGATTCTCAATGAGTTAGAAGTTGGTTAAAGTTTCATCACTGAATTAACTTCTTTCAGCTTTATTTTATCCTCAGTTATTTTGTTCTCAGAAAAGTCTCAGATGAAAAGAATATTATTCTTTCTTTTCAATTCATTTTCCTTTTACCATTTACACGTTTTCTTTTTTGATCCATCTGCAGATGAACATCAAGCAAGAAGATTCGAGCAGCGAGAAGGGTTGCAATTCGAGCGACGAGATCTCGGAATCGGATTCCCCTTACCCGAGGCTAAAACTGAACGCCGAGGAGAAGCGTTTGCTGCAAAAGGAAGGGATCACGCTGCCTACTCATTATCCGCTGACGAAACACGAGGAGCGCGAGCTGAAGAGGATCAGGCGCAAGATTCGCAACAAAATCTCCGCCCAGGACTCGCGCAAGAGGAAAAAGGAGTACGTGGACGGATTGGAGGATCGTGTGAAACAGTGCACCGAGGAGAATATGACGCTGCTGAAACGCATCAAGGCGTTGCAGTCGCAGAATCAGAGCCTGGCTGGGCAACTCAAGAGGCTGCAGGCACTGTTGCAAAAAGGCAACAAGAGCGCCCAGCCCGCCACTTGTCTCATGGTCTTGTTGCTCTCGTTGGCCCTCGTTGCCGTGCCGAATCTACGGCCACACTCCAATTCGAACAATGAACTCACGCAAGAGCAGGAACAGCCGGAGAAAATGCCGCCGCTGGCTGGTAAGGATCTTGTATTGTATATATATATTTCTTTTATCTGCGGTTAACGAGCAATTGTCCACTGATTACTGTTGCTAGATAAATCTGAAGGAATATTTTTGGTTGGCAAGTTAAGCCTGCTTGAATTGGACACATTATGCATTGGACACTTTCATTAAAAGCTTGATTTACTATTAATTTTCTACATTTGCAAATTTCATATTCATTTTTGATAAATAGTTGACGCTTCATAAAAAAATCTATTTTAATCTGGTTATATTTCAATTGTAAAATTTCGACGGTGAATAGACATGCATGTTTGACGTCACTCTGTAGAGTCTTCAGGGATCTATTATTAGAATTATCATATTAACTATCCTTTTTTATTAATATTTATTAATTAATTAAGGTTAAATTAAAAGGATTCACTTGAATTATATTTTGTACTGCAATAATTTAGAAAGATTCAACTTATGCACGGTAATGTAAGTATAGTTTTATGAATTTTTATTATATTATTTTATTTTTTACACAACTAGATCTAAATTTCAATCTTTGGTATAAAATTTATCATTCCATTGACTACAGTCACTTAGAAAATTATTTATATAGGTCGACATTTTGAACTATTATAATTTAAAAAAAAAATTATATATTAACTTGGTCTCGTTTTTAAAGCGTAAAACTTTCACTTTGACGATCCTCAATTTGTTTTTTTTTTTTTCAAAATTTTTATATCTTGTAACTGGTGGGAAAATAAGAGTATTTTTCTCTCAAAAAATTACTTTTCGCCATTTTGACAAAACGTTACCATTCCTTGAATTTCTGTCGTGGAAGTCGAAGCGAAAAGTCACGAAAAAACACTGACAATTATTTCATCGAGCAAATACTTGAAATAAATGTACCTCGATTCTAAATTTGTCCAAAGCAACAGTTGATGACCGAGTGTTTGGAGGCCGTGTAGCTTAGAAAACTCCATAGAATTTTATTTCGTTGCTCGGCACATACTCGAGAGGAATGTGAATGGTATCGGCATGTCCGTCGGATCCTTTCGAACCGTTATATTAGTGGTTATACAGGTTGAACGAATTTGATAGCATGGGCCAGCTTAGGGAACGTTGAACCCTTACGAGATCGTGAAAGGCACACACTTCTTCTTGTTAATATTTCATTTTTCCCCGAGCATTGCTTTCACGCATTGCGGTTTGTTGCATCTCGGCCTCGTACGGTCGACTGGCTTTTTGCCAGTATAAAAAAATCGTACGATAAAGTGGTTTCTTTCACACGCTACGTATCTTCTCGCATATCGTATGTATGTTGCTCTGAAATTTCAATCACTCGATAACGAAATTACAGTAAAGAGTATAATCGGTAATTATAAATTTCGAGTAAATCGTTCCTCATTGACATCGACGTTAAAGTATACGGAAAATATGTTTCTTATTTGTTTGTAATTTATTTGTCGTGTAATTAAAATTATTATGATTATCTACCTCCTCTGGTAAAAAAAGTTTTCAAACGTAAATACTTGAACATTAAAATCTGATGGGCATGGAATGCTGTATTGTATTTGTTCGAAATATATAGAAAAATAAAATTAACGATTCAATTGTATTCTTTTAGATGAAAGATTTCAATACTTGCGTTTGATCGAAAATGTTTTACCAGAGGTAATATAAGCATATGTATAATTAAAATTAAATAACAGAATTCAAATTGTTGTGGATTATCTACAATCCAATAATACCAATTGTGAGTCAATAACATTTTTATATGACGTCGAAAATTTGATTCTATGAAAATGAAAAAATATGGACTGAAAAAACAACGTTGAAAAATTACATTGCAATTAAAGACAGTATTGAAAAATTATTAGCTCTAACTATCCAAAATGTTTCTGTTACTTTCATTTTCTGTACATTTTAATATCAATGTTAATAAGAAAGAATTTGCACAAAATCATGGTTATGCTCTTCACTGTATTTTGTTTTATTTATCTGAACATGGATTTCCAAATATACATTTGAAGTTGACGATGTTTTTAATATTTTATCAATGTTTAACCAACGCAGCAAGTTGGTAAAAAAATTATGACGAGTAAGTATTGATAAGAGAACGACTTTAATTTAGTACGACATAGTTGTCGTAAATGTTAATATTTTTATTGAGTATTAGTAATTCTAGTGGATACATGTTAACCAGTATTCATCATCGTAACGTGTGATTAAATAATCCTGGATAATTGGATCGTGTTAGATGAATGTTTTACATAATCGTTGCTTCATAACTCTGAGCAAGTTGTTCGAGCATAGAGAACATGTAAGAATTCTTAAATTTTCTTCCTTTTCTTTGGCTCTTCCTTTTATGCTTCGATATTATTCGATGTTCAAATAATTTGTCCGGCAATTTAATTTTCACTGCATTTTGCTGCATAATCGTGTGCTGGAACAGCAGATTCCAATACTCCTCAGGTTACACGACGAAAAAATAGCAATACACGAATTTCAGATTACGAAATAGATTTGCTTTATATATTTCGCTCTACGACGACAACGAAGCTATCGAAGTAATAAATTTTTAGTGGTGTGATGGTCTCAGTATATTGACGTGTAAATTCTTCTATTCAATTCGATTTTTCTATTAAACTAGTATTCTATTATATTAGACTCTTAATCTTAAAATTTTATTACTATTATTTTTAGCGTCGAATCAAATTTTATTATATATTATGTATGTAAAATAAAAATTATTATGCAATGAAATTATATATATATATATATATATTTTTTACGTAGATAAATTTTATAATTTTATTATTTCAGCAATTGTGAAAATTTTCTATTATTGTGAAATTATGAAAATTAAGTGACAGAGGTCTACAATTAATGACCCTTTGATAGAATCGAAATTTCATAATAATTATTAGTCCCTTCAGGATTTATAAAAATTTCCTAAATTCGTTTATATTGAAATTTTATAATGGTTGTTAATCTTAAAATGTTAATTACTACTTGCAATAATTCTAAAACTTCTCCAAGTTTCAACGTCATTATTTTACAACAATTTTCTAAGTTACAACTTACGTCATTTGTAAAATTTTACAGAGATCTGCAACCTCTTTAATCCATTAGTACTATTATCCACCAAATCACTATCAAAGAAAGCTTTGTCACTCCAAGTAATGATAAATCTTGATAAGCCTTGATAAAGAGACAGACACGATGTTTCGAAATCAATAGATATGGGGATCGATATGGTATAACAACCGGTATGGTGAAACCAGAGCAGGGTACGAGATTGAGAAGTTGTTCAGCTACTTTCTAAACGAGGACAAGAAAGTCCTTTCTCGATGCTAGAACCGAACGAATTCTTTCTTATCCAATTGTAATCTTCTTTTAGATACTTTCTCAACACGTCCATTCACTCCATTGTACGATGATTTACAAACTCGTTTTTCGTAATCAAAAGTCAATTTTTTCCACGTTTGATATGTTGAAACAACTTTTGCCTTTGTGGTGATCTTTCAAAATCTAAAATATTATTAATATAAATATTATAAATATTATAAATAATATAAATATTATAGATAATATAATATTTATAAATATTATAACTATTATAAATATTAATATTATTAAATAAATATTATTAATATTAATATAATATTATATTATTCATGTCAAATAATTCTATTATCAGATACAAGATTTTAAAGATAAAATCATAAAATTCAAAGTTTATGTTAATTATATATTGTTATTATTAATTATATTATTTTATTTTAATTATATTAGTTAATCATATTTTTGTAGAATAATGTCGATACGAAAGTAATTTTTATATTTGTACATGTACAGGCTGTTTTATTTAGATGTTTTAAGTATAAATTTTGTTTGACGCTTCGTACGAAAGAAAAGGAAACAGCTTCGTCAGGTAATGTCATTGACCTTCGTTAAAATTCAAAGGTATCTGAGAATCGCTGGGTTTATACGTGGATTGACTCGTAACCAGTTCCTCGAGTTGATTACGAAACCAGCTAAACCGAGCTGTCTAAATCAAATTGTCTAGATACAATGTCCATGGTTAACCACGTCATAAGTTTTTATCTGCGATAATTATTTTGTATGAATAATGCTAGCTAAACTTGTAAATACGATAATTATAGTTTCAAAACATATACAAAAACACTAGATGTGAGATGTATTATATTAATACAACAGCTTATTTCACGATATTTTCACTGACGATGAGATTTATCATTTTTAAGAAAGAACAAGAACCAACGCAAGCTTAAATTTTGTAATTTTGAAACTTTATTTGTTTAATCTCAACGCTTTGGTTTTATAATATTGTTCGTTATGAATTTTTTACTTCAAAGCATTTGTTATTGTAACGAAACTTCCAATTTCAAACTTCTTTTTATAATACTCGTTATTAAGGAAATTTTTTATCTCAACTCTCCGTTTCTATTATCATTCATCATTGTAAATTTCCAACTACTTCGAAGCTGCATCTTTACATTTACGTTCGAATTATTTCTTTGTTTCAGGTCGTTCGCGAACCTTACTCTACACGAAGCAGCTGATGGACGAGGAACTGCAGCAATACAGCGAGGAGTTGCTGCAGGAAGTCGAGGGCCTTCTAGATCACGATTACAGCCCAACAATTCAACCGCCCCTCTACAAACGTCCTCGCATGGACACGGAATCACCGCCGAAGTGCGTCTCGTCTTCCGATCATATCGGAGGGACGCTCTGCGGAAGACAGGAAGTCACGATGAAGTCGAGCAGGAAGTACATCGAACCTCCGTTGGACGACGTTTGGCCTCCACCGAATCCAGGCGGGCAAAAGAGCGCCAAGGTGGTGGACAAGCTCGAGGTGCTGACCAACGAGCTGAAGATTAACATCTCTGATTCAGAAGGCACGAGAACTGTCCTCCTAAAGGTGCCTCAAGAACAGTAGAAGAAGAAGAGCCAGTCTCACTCGAGACTCTTCAAGAACGTTATATTTTTCTATCATTTTTGTCGTAACCCTTTACGATCGGATCTATATTTGACATGGTACATCCTGATCCTGCAGATCTTAGAAGGAAAGAATTGCAGATCGACGAGGAAACACGGACCATCAAAAATTCTCATTGAGTATTATTCAAAACGACTGACGCATCGCAAATTCTACAGTCTTGCAATAGGAGGCTGATTATGATTGAAACTATCTTTTATTTGAGCTATGCATTTTCTTCTAGTTAGCTGTATCAGTGTCTTTCAAATGAGAAATCGTGAAGGGTTCAGATATAGACTAGCATGAGCTTCTTCCTATGAGAGGCGTATATTATAAGGCAGAATAGAGAATTCAATAAGGTGTCTCGTACTTTTTAATTCATTTCTCCGCGTGAATATTTCATAGATTTGAATAGACTGCGGATTTTTATTGAAGTTTGCACGCGCAAATGTATGTACCGAATGCGTGCAATGTTTTATACAAAATTGTATAAAATAACTAAAACGGAGAAAACTAATACTAATTTTTAGTATAAAACGAATCTCTGTTTAAACCTCATTTCGTTAATTATGTCCATGAAAATATAAATTTGCATAAAGATACGCAGTCTACCAACGAGAATCCGTTCAACTAGCGTATTTCAACCCTCTAACCACCTAGGTTAGAAAAATTTCATTCATAGTCGTAAGATTAAATTCTTTCGAGTCACTTCTTCTATATTTTCCTCTTGGCTTCGCGTGTTTTTAACGAAGCTACTTTTTACTCGCTGAATATCTCACGGTAGAGATCATCGAACGAATTTCACCAATTGGATTTAATCTTCATCGCTCATTTCATCCATTATAGTCAACTGCACACCATCATCGATCGTCTTTGGGTGATTTTTCAAGAGTTTTTATCGATTGAACGATATTTAAGATTTATCTATTTATAAGAATTTATTATTATGAGAGTTTTACAGTTATTATTCATGTTGTCAATGATAAGAGAGAAAGAGAGATTTGTAAATAGTTATTATATAAATCATCGGAACGATCACTGAAAGATATATATTATAATTATAATAATTATTATTAAATATATATTATAAAAGAAATATATCGTAACTTTAACTTTACAAGGTACGATTTTTAATTCTGTACTACTGTACAGCGAAAGATACGGCGTTATTTACGGAAGTAGATAAAGTAACTCGTTGATAAAAAAATTTGTTTATATATATACACGTACACATAACAAATGTGTAGAATGTATGTTTCCATCTTTTAACGCGTGATAGATACGATTATTCGTTTCATCGTACACTTCTTTGGGGCTAGGGTATAGCAGTGTTTGATAATTAATTTAATATTACATTATACAAAAGCTTGCAGAGATACATTTGCTACGCGAGCAGAACGTATTTAACTACGAAAACTGCGTGTTATCGACACCAGGTTCGAAGACTGTATTTATAAATTTAGTCGCATCCTGATATACAGGATGGTCTTGCTTTTTCCGGCGTAACTATGGCAGTAGATTGTACGAGTAAAAATAAAGAAAAAAAGTGTCACAAAAATATATGATCAAGAATTCGTCGTTAAGGACTTATAACGAAAAGTTCGAAACAAAGAGTTGACGATATTTATCTACGTCAGTTTAATTCAATTTTCATTTTTGCGAATACAGGTCTGTCATCTATCAAATTTATTACATTTCGAATTTCTAGTTGGCAAATGTTTGTGTGATATTTTTTTCTTGTTTTGATTCATAGAATCTATTGCTAAAGTTATGTCGAAGAAAGTAGGGACACGCTGTATATTCCTTGTTCTTTCTTCAAATTCGACGCATACGCCTCGCCTTTTTTATTTAAAAGTTTTATTTAAAAGTCTTTTATTAAGTTATTTTATATACGCGAAGCGACGTGTATATGATACACGGGCAAGCAACGTAATACAAATTGTAAATATTAAATACACGGCACGAGAGTAACATTTGTTTCGTAGTTCGTACTTATATTTAATTGTCTCTTTCTCTCCGACGAAATTCCTGGTAGAAGGCAACCGCGCACACGGAACAATAATAAATGGATAATATTGGAAACGAGAAATGGGGCTCTTTTTTCGCGAATTGATAGCGAGTTAGAAAAAAAGAAAGAAAAAAATTCTGTCGTTCTTCCAAAGAATTGTAATTCCGTACACGTACACGTATATAGGACAATTGTCATCGGTAATCGATGCCGAAGCACCGGCCACGATTTTTTATTTAGATAAGTTCAACAATACATTCCTACCAGTAATGTCCATTCAAAAATAGAACGATTCTATTTTTGCACGTATGTAAAAGGGTTAAAGGTATTACACTCTGAATTTCATTCAATATACGTGTAACGACATTAGAAAATAAACTGTTACAATCAGAATAGGTACTGTTCTCTTTCTTCGTTTCTTTCCTTTTCAAAAAGATATCAAATTCTCTTTCGGACTATTTTGAAATACTAAGTGTTTGTATAAAAAAAAAAAAAAAATGTAAAAAGCACTTGCGCTAATTCTTAATAGAAAGGAAAGACTCAAATTCACGTCATTTCGTATATATGCAGAGTGTCCAGTAATTGGAGTAAAATATGATGAATGAAAAAATTTTATTCTTTCTTTTCGACTCATTTTTTCGTGTTTTCATCACCTGTTATTTAGTTATATATTCTATCATAAATGAGATATTTTCAATCAAGGGAATTGTAAGGAATGTACAAGATGAGTATCTTCATCAGAACTTCCTTTGTAAGAAATTGAATGAGCTGTTTGAATATTCGCGCTTCTGCAACTAGTTTGTCCAACTGTGAAAATTGAAAATTAACTACAATTTAAATACTAACCTAACCTACAATCACATCTAGTGACTAGTAACATTTCTTTAGCCGCTACATGATTATTGTAGCGCCATCTGTGAAAGAAGAAACTTTGATAAATAACAATGGAAGTGTAATCTTCAAAGTTTCTAATTTATGATCTTTTATCCCGCCAAAACCTATGTAAAGTAAAGTGTTTCAAATATTAAAGTTATAATTTATAACAGTTTGAGAAAATTTTTACTTGTTGAGTTTCATAAAATGGAACATTTGGAACATTTGGCTGATCTATTGCCGACTTATTACGCTAGATTATTTCCCTTCCCCGACTATTATCGTTGGCTCAGTTATGGAAATGGTAATTCTACCGGTCTATTTGACATATACAGACAATAATTTCTTGATTTCTGCATCGTACTTTTTAATCGACATGATTATATTGTTACAGCAAACACGTTCAGTCACAGAGAATTTTCATTCACTCTCGAAGATGATATCTATCTTCGCTTTCAATCATTTAAAGGTTTGAAAGAGTTGGAGCTTGAAATAAAAAGGCTTCTTCCTTTCAAGATTGATATAGGAGCAGTATACAATGTCAAGTAACTGAAACAAAAATTAGATCAGATGTTCAATTATCAGCAAATAATTTTTATCGACTTTTTTTTTATTGTATTTAGTCCAAAGGATTATCACAAGGGAGCAAATTTTATTCCTGTTGAAAGAGAATTAGTCTTTGATATAGATATGACTGATTATGACGACGTAAGAACATGTTGCAGTAGTACTGATATTTGTTCCAAGTGTTGGAAGTTTATGGCACTAGCTTGCAAAATTTTAGACAGTGCTTTGAGATGTAAGTATAATTAATAAGTTGTTAAAAATGTATGTGTCTGAAGTTTGCATTGAATTTCAGTGGATTTTGGATACAAACACATATTGTGGGTATTCTCTGGCAGAAGAGGTATTCATTGTTGGGTATGTGATTCCAGTGCACGTACCTTGACTACAACAGAACGTGGTGCAGTGGCAGAGTATTTGCAAATTATAGAAGGTGGTCAATATATGAAGAAAAAGGTGAATTTACCTGGTGATAAAATACACCATTCCATCAAGTGTGTAATTATTGTATGAATTAAATCTAATTTCAGTTGTTTTTCTTTATATATTGTCGTTTAAAATAAAATTTTATGTAATTTAGACGTGCACTGGAAATGATAGAGGCTGTGTTTGTTCCGTTTTGTGTAGAAGAACAAGATATATTAGGAACAGATGAAAGAATGGAGAATTTTCTGCAGATAATTTCTGATGATGATGACAGACAAGAGTTAAGAGCACTTTTTGGCCAATATAATTCTAGCAAGGACAGATGGAACATATTTGTCAAATATATTCAGAACAAGAAAACCACGGTATTTTATAATATTTACAAAATTCTAATAAAAGTAAACAGATATAATTTAGCATTGAACATGTGATTTTAGGGAGACAAAAAATGGTACCAGTATCGTCATTTGATAGAAGAAATAATGCTACAATATGCTTATCCAAGGTTAGATATAGCCGTCAGCAAAGGATTGAACCATCTTTTGAAGTCTCCTTTTTGTGTTCATCCAAAAACTGGCAAAGTCTGTATCCCATTCACTGCAAACACCGTGGATAAATTCCAGCCGGACAATGTTCCAACAATTACAACACTGATCGAAGAAATAAATGAATTCGATTTGAAAGATAAGACTGAACAGGAAACGTACGACTTGAACGCGAAGAAAATAAAAGATTACAAAAAAACTAGTATTAATAAGTCATTGCGTATCTTTCAAGAATTTCTATGGAATCTGAGCAATGAGAGAAAGGAGAGCAGGCTCAAACAAAATGGTAAATATTCTGCTACATTTTGTGCTTAACAATCGTACTTGTATTTTCATTGGCAAATCTTTATTTTTCAGACGAAAAAATGGATTTTTAATTAGAACGTATTTGCATTTTTGAAATAAATTAATAGAATTTAAGAATAGCAATGTTTCTGATTTTAATTAAATTATCACGTCAATCTTTGGACTATTTTGGTATAATGTTTCGTAAAATTTTTGGAATATACAAAGTTCACTCAAACCTTTCACTTAGCTCAATATCGCTTATTCCAAGATAATTATAAAAGAATATAAATATCTTCTCGATAGAGATCAATTTATTTCAGAACAGTTGTTAATTTTTTTTAAATATTTCAAACATGAACACAGTTTTTCTACTACACCAATCAATAATTTTATGTATGTGTAAAAATGTACTATTAGTTTAATTCATCTGGCTCATCGTTTTATTATATTTTTTCCACTTTTTCTCACCATCACGTGTTGCGAATATACCGTTTCTTTCACATGAGCATAGCCAAACTTGGCATAAAGACCACAACTCGATATCGAAGAAAAAGAATTCGCAGTAGACTCGAGGACATGATAGATTTATTTAACAGGATTGTATGCACCCATAGAATACTCAATAGCTTGTCTTCAGTTCAGATTGTACATAAAAATAAGTAACCGCGTCTCTTCACTTTGCAAAACTAAAATAGAGTTATCGACGAAAAATATTTTAAATATATAAAATGAAAACTGTATAATACAATGTGAGTGAAAAATAAACAATATAACGTTATGAAAAATATATATAATGCTATGATATATAATACTATATATTAATGTAATTATGATGTACAACTGATAAAGTAATATAACTAATACTGTGTACAACATTATAAAAAGAGTGAAAAATTGTTCTTTTATTGGAAAACCGTGTAAATCTCGCGTAGTCAATATGTTAATATTGATGAATAGCGCTTGATATTAGTGAATGATTTCTCAGAAGTGAATACAAATAGCAAAGGCGGCGAGTTTAAAGGAACTCGAGAGACAAATCTAGGAAATCAGTTGTAATCAAACATACTATCGCAACTCTCTGACCAACTCATTCAGTTGCCTTCCGCGCGCCGTCTGATAAACCGTCTTACAATCGGCTTGACAGTTTGCCATTGGCGAGATCGATTGCCAAGATTTCTAAAAAAAATCACTTTCACCCCAATTGCATTTCTGGCTGAGCTCGTCCACCGTTACTTTTTCTTGTTTCTACGTGAAATACTGCACCAACGTGCAATGACTCTTTCATTGGCCGCACGAATCCTCCGGTTAGACTCGACAAACAGCTTCTCTTCTGACACGAATTTAACAAGAAGCGAGATCATTCGCAGAAACTGCAGCCTGCTTTGGTATTTATTTAATATAAAGAAAAATATTACAAATATTTGGCGATTAAATTTTAAGACGATTTTAAGTGAAAATGAATGAAATATAGAAGAAAAATATAATAGCTATATTTTTATTTATTTATTTCGATCGTCGCACGATTAAACAGAAAATTTGAAAAAAAAGTATAGTATAATAGAACATGAAAATAACGTAAAAGAGAAACATGACGGGTAAATTTTTGTTGATTTTCTGATTTTAGTATCGTTTTGCGATTAAACAGAAAATTTACACGATCTTTCAAATCTGGAAATATATAAGTTTTTCAAAAATAGCTGACAATTTGATAAAGATTTATGTGTAGATACAACTATCAAGGCAATAATTTTGAAAATTTCGAAGAAGATAAAGAAGCACATATATAAATCTAAAATCAAACGCAGTCAGCCACAGGAGTATACATAAATATGCGAAATTCAAATATTTAAAGAAAAACAAGGATTTTGAATATTTCGTGGCTACTATAATTACTATTATTTTGAGTTGTACAGATTCTGAGAAAATGATGACACTGAAAGTACAAAATTAGCATAGTTATGTTTATCGCAAAACGCGTCCCTGTTATTACTATAATTGTAAAGATGTAAGAATAAATATTTACTATCTACGTATACGGTAATTTTATGTAGATTTTCATAAGACTCTTTTTTTCTATTTATTTATGTATACTCTTTAAAAGAATCTTGTGAAACATCGTGAATATTTTTAACTAACGAATTAATTAAAATTAACAAAATATTTAAAATCATTCCTTTTTCATTTCAAATGTTTATTTGAAATCTAATGAATATTTTAAACATTTGAAAGACTGACTCTATAAAGACTATAAGCTATAAAAAGTAATATAACAAAAGTAATATAACATAATATAATATAATAACTTATATTTTCCCTCTATAGTTTTCATAATCACTTGTAAAACACGATCTTTCCTTCGACAAAAGTAAACGTTCGTCGAGTGTTTGCGAAGGTAATTCATACTCCTGGACGAGAAAAATACTTGTCCGCGAATTTCAATGAATCCCGGAAACCACGTTACGTCACGAGCGTTGCGCACTAACGATTCCCAAAGAAATAATCGCTTCATCACAGATTGTTCATTCACCAGTTCTACAATTTACAAGACGAGAGACGTTCTCGTTACGATCTCTCGAGCAACGACAGACATTTCATGGCACGTGTTTTTAACTAGCCAGCAGAAAGAGATCGGCGGAAGAAATAGGTTAATTGTTTTGGAAACGCGGCGGCCGGTCATTACGTTCTTCTGGATAAAACTAGATAAATTGGGTGTTGCTACAGCGATTTGGTCTCTCCGCTCTTCCGCGTTATTATTCACGCTTCTACGTTTTCGCTGAAAACAGAGCGGCTCGCATTAACGCTCTCGGGACACGATACAATCGGCCGGTATCCTAAACGAGAGATAATTTCCAAGTGGCAATTTATAATTAATACCATGCTCCTTGACGAGAGTTCGCTATATGTTTCCGTTTCATCCGGAATGAAAAGATCGTGGAGAGCACAGTTATACGAATTTCACTAAACACTGGTTCACTGGAATGTTTTCTTCTTTTTTTTTTTTTTCTTTGTTATATGTAGCTGTTAAATCTCGATGGTCACGCAACTCGTCAATTTTAAATCATTTTAATTTTTAGATCGATTAAAAAAAATCGTTTCTCATAGTTTGGTGTCTCGACGAATCGCCAGGATAGTATTGCGATGGAAAAAGAAAATTGTAATATGAAAAACTGTGTTCTGCAAAAATTTTGTCGTATCTTTTGATTATGTCTGTGGTATGGCGATGTGAAATTACGCTGAATTTCAATGAATATATATATAAGAATTATTATAATCTGACTCCTGACAAGATAATGAAATTTGAATGAGAGATCATATTCCATTCATCAGATCTCTCATCAACTTGTCTTCGAGTCTGAATAACCACATCAGGAATAGGCAGTTCAATAATGAAACTGATCTAAGAGAAGTAAGAAGTGTCTAGATATTTTCACGACGAAACAAAAATTTATAAAATAAATTGTTAATCCATTGGAAGAGAGTTATAAGGTGTGAAGGTTCATATTTCAACGAATAAATTCACGTTTTTCGCTTGAAAAGAAGAATTTTTCTGAATATCTAATATTTTATGTAGTAAGAAACTGTATATGTATATATATACAGTATAGACAAGTATAATATATATGTATATATGTACATGTATAATATATATTAATTATATAAATAATAAACATTTTTAATATTTTTTATTTATTTATATTATTTAATATAATATATTAAATATAATTATATTATTATGTTGTTAATAAACGTTATTAACAACATAATATATTGTATTATATTATATTTGTATATGTGTATAATAATATATAATATAATATAACATATGTATATATATTGCTGTTGTATGTTAATAATGCTATATTATATTATTAATTATATAAATAATATTTTTTAAATATTTTTTATTTATTTATATTATTTAATATAATATATTAAATATAATTATATTATTATGTTGTTAATAAACGTTATTAACAACATAATATATTGTATTATATTATATTTGTATATGTGTATAATAATATATAATATAATATAACATATGTATATATATTGCTGTTGTATGTTAATAATGCTATATTATATTATTAATTATATAAATAATATTTTTTAAATATTTTTTATTTATTTATATTATTTAATATAATATATTAAATATAATTATATTATTATGTTGTTAATAAACGTTATTAACAACATAATATATTATATTATATATTTGTATTATATTATATATATATATAAGTAAATCGTACATACATAATAGTAACTCATACCACGGATCGTACATACATCATGTACATATGTAAACTGCCCCATGTAACATAACTCTTCACGCGCACGCACATTCATATTGAAAGTTCGCTACGGATGGCCTTGTTTTGCACATCCTGCGCTCGTACGTGTAATTTCTATAATTCTGTCTTTCAACGAAAGTTACTCGAACGCGCACGGACGGATTCCTCGACTGGCAGAGAACGTCAAGCTAAAAAAAAAAAAAAATCGTGAAAGTTCCCCCGCGAAATCGGCAGGGAAAAAAACTGGCTGATTTGTCAGGATGTTCGGTAACGAGATCCACGTTGCCCACGTGGACACGCTTTGTCATCCCCGAAACCAGATTTTTCTTTTTTGTCGCGGCACGTACTAGGATTCGTTTAGTCAATTCGATCGCCGAGTTTTTCGATCGACGATCGTTCCTCGCGTGACGAATAGGAACAACAGATGTACCGCTTGTCGCAAGAAAGGACAAGAAAGTGACCGATTTTTCTTGCCCGTATCTATTACAGATTCGAGAAGATGGGTGGACCGCGATGGAAAGCGAATCGAAACACGTCGGACGTGTGTTTTTGCTTAAATAGATCGGTATCCAGGCATTAGCGAAGCTTGTGACGGATAAAACTAGAAGACCAATTTTATTATAGATCTGTCGATCGATATATTTTGTTAATTAAGCGATTACGAAGAACATCTAATTAGATAATAATTATTTTTCAATATTTAACTGTTAAATTTAAGAAAAAAAAAAAAAAAAACAGACTATCTGAGTAAATTATCGAATTCACTGCCAACTTTGAACCGTACGAACGATCTTTAGATATTAATTAATTGGAAATTTCTGTTTATCACGTGATACTCCCGAAAATGATTTTTAGATTGGCGATCACACCGTGTTCTCCGGGCAAAAAGAAAAAAGAAGGATCATGGTGAGCCAATCAGTCGGTAATTACGATCCTAATCGACTGTGACCAAGTGGAGCGCCTCCCTTTCGTTGGAAGTAGATTAAACTTTCTTTCCCCGGCGGATAATCCATTTTGGAATTTTTCTGGATATTTTCGATCGGTCATGGGACTTTCAACGGTTAATCCAGATCGCTCTGATTTATTAGGAAACCTCGGGGCGGCCTCGGAACGAGATTCCTGTCCCCTTGGTCGAACGATTCGACTCGAGAAAGGACAGAGAGCTCCTTATGCCCCGTTCACACTAGGCAGAAGCTGCTCAGAATGTTGCAAAGTAAGATCTTCAATAGGTCCATGTATGTTTCGAGTT